TAAGTAACCATCAGTCAGTACAGCTATGTGAGTTTAAGCATTTAAAAGGAGAAAAAACAAAACAAAACCAAACCACAACAGCAGTAGAAATCTGTAGGCCAAGATGTCTAGGTGAGGTAGCCAAGTTGTGTGCCAGGGGAGGAGAAGTGCTCGTACAAATGTGTGGGCAGGAAACGAGAGGGCTTTCAGGTGTCCTTCACAAGGCTACAACCTGCCAAAGGGACATCTGGAACTGCCAGGGTTGGAGAGGGCTCCCAAAACAGCGAGGGGTCTTGTCGGAGTGAGTTGGGAGAGCTTCTGGCTGGCTGGAACCAGCGGTGCTGCGGCCCCGGCTCGCTTGCTAGTGAGTGTGAGTTTATTCTTACGTCATTGCCACTTAAAAAGTGTTTAAAGCAGTTTACTTTTTTTACTGAAAATTCAAGACTTTGAAAGGAGGAACTTTTTAAAGTTTTTTAACCACAGTGAAACCACAAAGCAGCACAGCTTTCTAATTTGGTGAGAGCTGTGCTTCCAACTCTGCTCTTACATGGGTATAGGCATTGCTGAGCAAGCAGTATTTCTTTGTGTGGTCTTACTTTTATTTCTTGCATTTGATCCTTTTTCCTCATGGGGTGAGGATGTAGTTTATTCCCAAATCTGTTAGCTCCTCACAAGTAAGTGAAGCTCCTCACAAGAAGCTCGACCTCAGTTGTTAGTCTTTCTTTGAACTCTTCTAAAGGCTCAGGTGGAAGCCAGTCTCTTGCTTGTGTAACTTTCAAAGTCTTAGTCAGAGCCCATATGTTACAACCTGGAGGAAATGATGCATGGGGATGACTAAAAGAACATGTTCCTGCTGTTAATTTGGGTGTCATTCCAGAAATTTAGTTCGTAAGCTTTCCCTTTCATTTTGTTAACACATTTAGTTATTACTAATCCCAGTCTTTGCTGCTGTTCCCCAATAAGGAACTTAATGAAGGGATAAATCTTATATTAACCAAGAGAGGTACTTGTTCACCCTGCCTGTGACAAGTAGGGAGATGCAGAGAGCGTAAGTGTGTTAGATTAGCAGAAATATGATTTATGGATAGGAAATTCACTTTAATGTAGTTTCCTGCTGCAAACATGGTTTTACTCCAGTCTCTCTGAATGGTTGTGTAATTTACCAAGAGCGAGGCTATAAAGTGCTAATTGGGAATTATTTCTAAAAAGAAGTGAATAGCTTTCAGTGGTTTAATGCTTAAAACTGACCATGCAGTTACAATCTGATTTGCAAGAGGAAAGCCAGGAAAATTAATGAAGAAAAGGTAGATTACAATTTATAACTTCTTCTTACCACTTGTTTAATATCTGTCTGTTGGATTGCCCTTCATATTGAAGGGTACGTCGTATAAGCCAATAATGCTTATTTATATAAGGATAAGCATTGTAATAACCCAAATAATAGTTATTTATCTCTCGGGAAGGTGAAGTGCTGGAGCCGTGTGCCAGGCAGGTTGTCTGTGGGATCGGGGGTGTCTGTGGGATGGGTGATGCTGTGCCTGGGGAGCACCATGAGCACTGGCTGGCACGGCTCCTTCCCCCGGAGCCAGGAGCAGCTGGAACCATAAAACACCAAATTCTCCACAGAGGGTTACGGCAGCTGAGCAGGGACCAGTGTGGTGGCCATGTACCAACTCCCTACTGAAGCCTCTTGAGCTGGCTACTGTTCACAGTTAAGATGGAGAAAGAAGTTAAATTGGCCCATCCTTCCTTAGCGGTAACACAAACCCAGCCGCTGTCTCGCTTCTTGCTCGGGTCTGCTTAACTTCAGTTTCTCTGGAAAAGTTGAACCCGCTCAGTGCGATTGCTGTGGACTTTTGAAGGTTGAAGTTTATTTTAGAAACCTTGATCCTAAGTAGTAGGCTTGAGAAGCTTTCAATTATTTGAAATGGAATTACAATGTTGCCTCCTGAGCCAAGACTTTGTGTCCCATCAAGGAGGGAAAGAGCCAAGAAGTGTGAATGCCTTACAAGGAGAGGGAGCTTGTAGATGTCTGCGAACTAGTACTGCTGTCTCCCGCATCACATGGAGGAGAATGTTTTCCAAGTTTGAAGTCTCATGTCTTGATGAAGCTGAGAATAGTGGTAACGCCATAAATGCAGTGGAGCAGACTGAGCAAGGAGTTTGTCAACTCGTCCTGCCGCTCGGCACCCTCAGCCCCCTGGGTCAGCTCTGCCAGGCTGGAATCATGTGCTGCTGCAGAGAGCAGGATGCTTGGTGACTCCTTGGGCCAATCTGGCAACTTGCTTCTTTCCCCCAAATTTTGATACCTTTGGGTCATGCAAAGTGATGCCTTAATTCCAGTTGAGTGGATTACCTTTTTTTGGCATGACCTTTCCAAAGCATCCTGCTCCCCATTTCAAAATTTGGTGTCCCAAGGTTGTTCCAGGCTTGCCTTCAGCATAAGGGCATTTCATCTTGTGTGGACTGTAGGATGGGGAGTGTCTGTGACCCCAGTGAAGGTTTTTTGGGTTTGGATTAAACACTGAGTGAATCACACAGTTAAATGGGTGGTTTTGCTGCTTCGGAGCAGAAAATAGTTAAGCCCTTTCAGAAACAGCTTTTGCTTTGGCCAACAACTCCTGTGTCGGGTTCAGCCTGGAGGAATTTAGAAAAGGTTGTTCGAGCCTGTACAGCGCTGGAGCAAGTCCCATGGTGGGATGTGTGGCACTGCCCAGTCTCCCCTGCCCTTACCCCCCCTCCAGTGCTGGACCCAGGCTGCCTCCCTGGAGAGATGCTCAGCTATCATTCTCATAAAAATCCAGATTCTCTCTGCTGTAGTTGTAGATAAAACACTTATTTGTCTTCCAGAATTGTTTTGTTGCAGTTGCCCAGCTTGTGGTCTTAGCACTTTGAATTCAGACAGCAGTCCATATGGGCCAGCGCTCATAATATGGAGAATATACAGAATACAATTGTCTGCAACATCTGAAGGATATTTTTAAAAGTTACTCTTAAAGTAGCAGTGGAAAATTTCTCACAGTGCTTAGAAATCTGAAAATAAGAGGCAAGGGGTATGGTATTACTTTTTTTTTTAATTAGAAGGTTCTAAAAAAGCTGCTGGATCTTTGTCGCCACCTTTTCCTTTCTCTGCTAGTCCACACTCTGCTTTTCCATCTCACACAAGGACTTGCTCCTTTTCCTCCGTAATAGCAGTGGATCTGATTTATTCTACAGGGTTTGAATTAAGAGGAAACTCAGCGGTAGGGGAAGAAGTGATGGATTTGAAAGCAATTCTCAGGCTCTTCTGTCCGGCCTCATTAGACAGCCTGCAGTTATTTTATTTTTTTTTTTATTTTCTCTTCTCTTCTTTCATAACTTACAAAACCCGCATGCTCCAGAGCAGCAGGAATGCTGCCTTGCTCTGGGCGGTCGGTGCTGAGGGTGTTGCCGGGCACGGGGTGCCTCCCGGCTGCCCCTGGGGACCCCACCGCCGCTCCCCCCGGGCACCCGCTGCGCCAGCCCAGATGGCTGCCGTTGCTCGGGGCAACATTAGCTCTGATGCTGCTCCCTAAAACGTAAAGAAAAAGCGAGAAACCTCCTCAGCAGCAGCAGTGTGAAATGGAAATGCTCCGTGCACGCGGGCATGCTGCCGGGGAAGCAGGTTTTCTGTCTTCCAAGAAGAGCTGCATCATCGTCGTTTCAACCCGGTTCTCCTCTCGTGAAGCCTCTGTGTAAAGGCAACTTGTTTGTAGCCATGGAAATTCTCATTCCCGGGTGGAGTTCTGTGCGATGGCAGATGAGGGCAGGCTGTCAAAATGGCAGTGGCCTGATCCCTCTGCATCTCGGTTACAAATCAGCCGGGTGCCAATTTAATTCATTACGTATGTGCTCTTATAAACATGCCTAAGTGAACTGAGAAAAGGAAAATGTCGGAGGTTAAAATATGAACTAATTAGTCTTAGTGATTTGTGAGCCTTTGCTTCTGTAAGTAAGAACAGTTACACAATGTGCCTGTTAAAGAACAAAAAAGCTTCGTTTCTAGGGCAGTGTCAGGAAGCACTCCCAGCCTGACCAGCCGGCCAGGGGAGGCAAACCAGACAGTGATGGTGTGGTCTTCACTAAAACTCCCATTTTGCTCTTTTACGTCATCTAAAGAGGCTGGAGCATCTGAGCTGCTTGTTGTTGGGGTTGCCACGTTGCTACCGAGGTCCAGGCAGCCTGGTTGGCTTCTGCTGCTGGATGGGGAGGAGGAGACGGGCCCTGGGTGCTCCTTGCAGGGGCACTTCACAGCCTGGAGGTTATGGCAAACGCTCCTAAGTTTCCCCAGGAAAACGAGAGTAGTAGAACGTGACATTCCTCCCATTTCTAACCTAAAAGAATAAGAATTGCCATGTGGCCAGTGTGCACCTACAAAAAAGGCCAAGGACAGCTCTAAATCTTTCTTTTCTCAACTTTAAAGAGAGGTCTGTAGAACTAGGGAAACCAGCAAACAAATAGAAAAATTATTGTGTTTGGTTTCTTGAGGTTGGTATTGTTTTAATTTGTCCCTAAAGAAATGGGAAGGGTGGTACAGCCCAGGAGGGTTCCTGGGGGACCTCACCTGGTGATCACCACCATAACTTCAGAGGAGCAGCCCTGGAAGGTGGTGATCAGTCACCTTAGCTGGGATGAGCTTCGGACCTGGAGATGAAATCCTGTGGATGTTAATCTCGCGGATAATGAGCCTCACAAAACCAAACCAAAACATAGGTAGCTGTGTGGTGGTCCATCAAGCCACGGGTGTGTTTATGTTGCCTGAAATATTAATGCTGTCTTGTAGCATAGCATAGCACAGACATCTCTTTGTTCTGAGGTCTTTGTCTTCTTGACACTGGATTCAAGGCGAGTGCCCTAGTTCATACACGCTGCTCATCTCTTACATAAAAGATTTTATAATCGCTCTTGATATAGACATAAACCTAAAATTTGGAATACTCTAGCAATGCAGTACCTTTACTTTAATCTGTTCACTACTAATAATGTCTTATTTTGGATTACAGGACAGAAAACTCACAAAAGTAGAGAGGCAGAGATTTAAAGAGGAAGCAGAAATGTTGAAAGGTCTACAGCATCCAAACATTGTGAGATTTTATGACTTCTGGGAATCCTGTGTGAAAGGCAAAAGATGCATCGTGCTGGTTACCGAATTGATGACCTCTGGAACACTGAAGACGTAAGTACTGTGCTCCTGGTGAGGAGGCTAAGAATAGCCATGGAAATTTTTAGAAAAATCCTACTTTCATATTCTGAAAAAAGGCACCTCCAGATAAAAGAAAAAAAAAAAAAAGCAGAGCTGTTCTCTGGTGTCTGTCATTTGTCCCTGCATTTGAACTGCATTGATTTGACAGGAAGAATTTTGGCCTCCATCTCTCTTTCCCTGCTCTCCTGTTCCAGTTATGCAACTAGAAGCAGCTCTCTGGTGTGTTTCATCTTCTGCCTGTGACGTTTGAATTTGTCAGGGTGTGTTTTTGTGATTGCTTCTGTGCTTGTATTTGCATGTTTTGTTAGAAAATTCACATAGAATAGCACTTGAATGGAAGAATCTCTATTTGAAGCAGAAGGTGCTCTAGGTTATCTGCTAAACAATAGTAATTAATAGCTTTTGGTAGTGACAGTCTTGTTAAGGTTGATATAAAACAGTTGGCATGAATTCTGGAACAGATTTTCAGCCCCAATGGGAGCAGGACTCATCACTGTGTATATCCAGTGTGCTGCTCTGCCAGTGCATTAGCAGGTTTTACGGTTCTCAAAAACGTACCCTCCCAATCAGAGTTTTAGGTAAATGGAAAAAATGCAGATGCATGGTACAGAGGTCAAAGTCTTGTGGTTAAAATTAAACTTCAGTATTCTTCTGATTTGAATATATGAAACATATTCTAAAGCTGTTTTCTGCATGAAGTGAATTGCTCTACTATTAGACTTGCAAATATTTGGTTGTATTTGCACCAAAAATGCTTATTATCTTCCTCCCTAAAAATGAATGCTCTAATTTGTCCTTTGGAAAAGATCTATTCCTTTCAATTTTGTGATATTTCTGAGCTGCTATTACAGCATCTAATAAGGGGCTTTTATCCAGACTGGAGTTTCAGCTGTTAAAGCCCCTGGAATCTCAAATAATGCTTCATTTTCTTTATGCCCATTTCTGTGTATGTTTGTGCTCTAGGTATCTGAAGAGATTTAAAGTGATGAAACCAAAAGTCCTGCGGAGTTGGTGCCGGCAAATCCTGAAGGGTCTTCTTTTCTTGCACACAAGAACTCCACCTATAATTCACAGAGACTTAAAATGTGACAATATTTTTATTACTGGACCAACTGGATCTGTGAAAATAGGAGACTTGGGTCTGGCAACCCTCAAGAGAGCTTCATTTGCCAAAAGTGTAATAGGTAATCCTCCTCTTCTTGGCTTTCATCTGTTGGTGTGGTGGTGGTTGTCTTTTTAATATCTCTCTTTCACATTTTGAATTCGTGGTTTTTTCACTTGTAGGTTGGTAGTAGAGAATAAAGTGGTTTTGTGACTTTACGCTACTATAAAATTCTCAGTCAGTAGGAAATGGTATAATGACTGCCTCTTCTCCTTCCTTCTGTTTCACAATGATAAAACGCTCTTTTTGTTCGTTTTTTAATTGAAATATTATGTGGTATCCACAAACCCTTCCCCTCTCTCCTTCAAAAGGTGCAGCAAGGGTTCTCAGCAGCTTATGGGCATCGTCCTCCTGAGAAAGGCTCAGTGCCTGCTGCCCCAGGGGAAAAGAGGAGGAGAGGGCAGGGAAAGGATGCCCTGCTCTCTCCCTGACAAGGGTGTGCTGCACAAGCCTGGGAAAGCCCCTGGGAAGTCTTCTGCTTCCAGGGATGCTGGGAGAGGCACGGGAGAGGCAGCAGAGCTCCGTGGAGCTGGGCTTCTCTGCCGTGCAGAGAGGTCACAGGGCTGGAACACCTCACCCCCGTTCCCTGGGGCATCAGCAGAACAGGCTGCTTCTGCTCAGCCCTGCCCTGGCACCGTCCTGGCACAGCGATGCTGAAACAACATCTGCAATTTATTAATAATCAGTAGGTATGAAATTAAATTTCCACTGGGATACATGATAGCTGGTGCCCTTAGGTGGAGCCCACGTGAGGAGTGTTACAACTTGGGCTTGCTTGAACTGGGAGGATGTTTTCTGAATGACTGTCAAAGGACATTGTTTCCTTGAAAAAGTTACATTTAATGTTTTCTGCATAAATGTAATGTTTTCCTGAAATCTCAAACATTTTCTGTTTTTACCCAAGATTCCGTAGCAAATCTCCCTTGGGTCAGATCTGTAGGTGATGGTTCTGGGAACCTGCACATTCCTGAGAAATGATGCTGAAAGTGGGGGAGGTTATCACAGGTGTAGTTGTATTTCAGCTTATTATAGAAATGGAAATTAGATTCTAGGTAATTAGAGTTAGCAAACTGATAGTGACAACTGCTGTTGGCTTACCATATATGAAAATAGCATCCTGTCTTTCAAGCAGTAATTGCTCAAATAATTATTTCAGCACCTCAAATTTTCAGAGATTATAGTTTTTTACAATTATTTGTACAACAGTATTGACCTTAATGCTTGGGGAGCCCAGTATCATTGAAGTCAAAATGATAGAAACTTTGGATATGTGCTTGGCTACCGTGGGTCTGCTTGTTGATTTTAGTGAAATTATGTTGGTTTATATCTCTTACGTTTCCATAGTTATTAACTTCTAAGAATTGGTGGGGATTTTTTCTGTTTGGGGTCAGTATTTCTTCACATCATTTTTTTCCAGTATAATAATTGTCTGTCGGACATAATGGAATCATATCAGTAATACCAATATAAGTTTTTCTAAAATCAAAGCACGCTTGTGTCTAAGAGAAATTCAATACTGAAAAGGGCTGCAGGTTGCTGGCAAGGTGTCTGTATTCATTTTGGCAATATCACTGAGCTTATCTTTTTCAAGAGCAGTGCTGCTCCAAGGAAAGAATTAGGAGGGCTTGGAAACGCTGGTGAGATGAGTAATTCTGCCCCCTCCGTAGATGTAGTAGCTTTAAAGGAATATTAGTAGCTGCAATTTCACATCGGCTTGAACAGAATGAAGTCAGCATGGCTGAGGTCCAGTTTTTCCCTTGCTGCGTCCGTGCCACCGCTGATGCTCGGCTGACCTTGCAGTGTATCTCTGCAGGGAGCCGCGCCAGGACACAGCTCCTTCTGCCAAGAGGAGCTGGAGAGATTCTGAGTGGCTTTACATTTAGGTGCTCTGTTTTTCTTAGGGGTACTTGTATGTATTCCTTCCCAACCCCGAGGGAAGGGGGGAAAATGTCATTTCAATGCTATTATGGAATGGTGTCAAGAATTTCATTTGCTATTTAGACTATTGCTATCGCTTTTTCAGATTTGCTTTAAATGCTCCATAATTCATGAGATTCACTCCTGCCTCTGAGTTTTGTTCCTTCTAAAACAAGGTAGCAGCTCCAAAAAACATTCTCTATGGCAATGGTTAACCATTTCAGAGCCTGTGGGACAGCTGGCAGAAGAACCCTAAGAGCAGGTACTAAGTTAAGCTTTCACGACATGGGTTCGGCTGGTGTACAAATGCTGAAGGAAGGAGTGTCTTTGAGGTGGAAGGAACATAAAAAATGGGAAAGACTGATTCCAGATTTTGCAAAATGAATTTTACAGAGATGCTTGTGCTGAGGCTTGTTTTGTCAGCTAGGCCAAGTCTCCTTCAGAAAATGTGCAAAAGCAGACAGACCCGAATTTTGAGAGATGTCGTTTATGTTGCCATTAAAAACAAGCTTATGTCAAGTCCCCAAACATATGAGAACTACTTTTTTCCAGGTATTACTTGAGAATCATGGAATGATAGAATACTTTGGGTTGGAAGGGACCTTTAAAGGTCATCTAGTCCAACCCACCTGCAATGAGCTGGGACACCTCCCACCAGACCAGGTTGCTCCAAGCCCCCTCCAACCTGCCCTTGAACCCCTCCAGGGATGGGGCAGCCACAGCTTCTCTGGCCAACCTGGGCCAGGCTCTCACCACCCTCACACCAAACAAGTTCTTCCCCAGATCTCATCATAATCTCTCCTCTTTCAGTGTCAAACTCTTCCACCTCCTCCTCTGGCTCCCCTCCCTGATCCAGAGTCCCTCCCCAGCTTTTCTGGAGCCCCTTGAGGGACTGGAAGGGGCTCTAAGGTCTCCCCAGAACCTTCTCTTCTCCAGGCTGAACCCCCTCAACCCTGTCAGCCCCCCCTCCTAGCAGAGGGGCTCCAGCCCTCCCAGCATCTCCGTGGCCTCCTCTGGCCCCACTCCAACAGGTCCATGTCCTTCTGCTGTTGGTGGCCCCAGAGCTGGAGGCAGCACTGGGGGGGTGTCTCAGCAGAGCAGAGGGGCAGAATCCCCCCCTCTAATTACAGTTGTGTCTTTGCTGATACAGAGATGCCATAACAGAAACTGCTGGGATCCAGCAGGCTGCTGGAGGGCTCTGGGGGCACTTTGGGTGCTGCAGTGGTGGCTGCTGGGCTGGATGGGAGTTTGTCCAGTTCCTTCATGTGTGCTCCTTTAGGCATCCTCTCCTGCAACACCCAACTGCATTGATGTCTCTTCCTTCATCTTTTCTAAGTGTAAAAAGGAAATAAATGTCTTGACGAGCAATTTTTTTCCTTTTGCTTTATAAAACCACGCTTTTCAGAGTAGTTTGCTGTGCAAACGTTGTAAGTCACCACTTGTCATACAGCTGCAATTTCCCGTTACTCAGCAGTAGTACAGTGCTTCACTTAATATTTATCCAGTTGACTCGGATGTCTGACACCCTAATCCCTGTTGAGTAGGACCTGATTCTGTGAGTAGCCTCATTGATTTGTCCCACTAAACCAGTGACAGAATTATGTTTAATGTTTTGTGAGTGACTGAAGGTGATTTGTGATACTACTTGCTTTCAAAGTGCTGTCTGTCTGCTGGGCGGTTGCTATGTGTCTCTAGAGGGAAAAAAAAAGGAAATTTGCATTGATTAAAAACAAGAGTGAAGGTTCTCGTTTCTTCTCTCCTTTTCACCTCCACATCCCTCTTTCCACCCAGGCAAGGAGCCATTTCATGACTTCCAGTATGCTCAGGCAATGTGCTGTATTTCATTCTCTTGCTCATTTTTGAAATTTCAAGACTTTTTCTTTTTTTTTTTTCCTTTTTTTTTTTTCCCCTTTCTCCTTTTTTTTTTCTCTCTCTCTTCTCCCTTGTATCATTACCATAGGTAATGTGGTGTATATATACCATGGGTATGTAAGTGTGCGAGTTGACTTTGGGTTTCTTCCCTGGAGGACGCTTGAGTTTATTCTAGTTATCTCCCTCTTTTGCAGTAAGCTTGCATGCCCCCTTACACAGCTGTAATGGTCACACTGCTTATAGGCGAAAAAAAATTGTGGTTAAAGGCATTTAGACTTTATGAAAAATTTATGTTCTTTTTGTGTGTGTCTATGTAGGTACACCAGAATTTATGGCCCCGGAAATGTATGAGGAACACTACGATGAATCTGTGGATGTCTATGCTTTTGGAATGTGCATGTTGGAAATGGCTACCTCAGAATACCCTTACTCAGAATGCCAGAATGCTGCTCAAATTTACCGGAAAGTAACCTGTGTGAGTAAACCTCCTTAATTTGTATTGGCATTTTGTGATTTGAAGGTTTAAAATTGTATTTTGATGAGGTGTTGAACGTGCAGTGTTGTAGAAGTTGAGGCATCTGAGCTCTGGGTTACGCAGACCTGTTGCAGGTTTATTTTAAGCTTACAGTTCCATGGTTGGATTGCGTTTGACAGTACAGCAGCTGCATAAAATATTTTCAGTAATCGTTGTTGGTTTTGTCTCCATCAGCCAAAAATACATAAAACTTGGGAAGAATGAGCAGGGAAAAATCTTCACTGTAGTCTTTCCTCCTATATGAGGATGCCTCAGACTTGATCAAGTTTCCCACAAAGTAAAAGAGCTAATTTTTAAATTGCAGCCTAAATACTTACTTATACAGTGGAGGATGTTTGGTTCAGATTTCCAGCACAGATTCTCTCTGTTTATATATGTAACAAATTATTTGAGGATATAAACAGAAAAAAATAGCAATGTTTAGTTTTGGAGTCAGTCTGAGGGGCTTTATTATCTGCTTTTTGGAACTCTGCAGGGTCTGGCAATCCCCAGACAGGAACCATGGAAATGGGTTTGCTGTATTTTCGGGTGAGGTTAGGCTGGAGGAGAAGCCAATCTGAAGTAATCTCTATACTGAATAAAATGCCCTCTCCAGCACTCTCACCCCGAGGTGATAAACATATTTGTCTACATGAGCTGGATGGTGAATGCCTGAAAAAAACTCCTGAGTCTGTAAGATGCTGTCAGGTTGCAAATCAGTGACTGCAGAGAAACGAGACTTGCCAAAGGCTTTGGCAGCTGGGATTATGTCCTGTTCTACTTGGTTAAATGAAACCAAGAGTTACAGGAGGGTTTTTTGGGATAGGTTATATTAAATGGGCTGGTTTGTCAAAAGATTTTCCCGGGTACTTCTTTCCATCTGGTTGCTACAAAAGAAGATAGTGATCTGTGGAGTTTGGTCCTCATGCATCACCAAAAGATGCAGTCTGCACACTCGGGGTGTGGAGAGGGTAATCCTCTGCAGAAAGCGGCACTTCAACTAGATCAGACTGCTCAGAGCCTCATCCAGCCTGACCGTGAATGTCTCCAGGGATGGGACCTCCTCCACTTCTCTGGGCAGCCTTTTCCAGTTTCTCACCACCCACAGTGTAAAGAAATTCTTCGTAATCTCTCATCTAAACCTACCCTGCTCGATTTTAAAACCACTGCCCCTTGTCCTGTCATTACATGCCCTTGCAAACAGTTCCTCCCCAGCTTTCCTGTAGGCCCCCTTCAGGGACTGGAAGGGGCTCTAAGGTCTCCTGGAGCCTTCTCTTTTCCAGGTTGAAGAACCCCAACTCTCTCAGCCTGTCCTCACAGCAGAGGGGCTCCAGCCCTCTGATCACCCTTGTGGCCTCCTCTGGACCCACTCCACCAGGTTCATGTCCTTCTTGTGCTCAGGGCTCCAGAGCTGGACACAGTGCTCCACACTACTCCAGAGAGTAGAGTAGAGGGGCAGAATCACCTCTCTCGATCCGCTGGCCATCCTTCTCTTGATGCAACCCAGGATGCAATCGACCTTCTGGGCAGCAAGTGTGCTTTATTTCATTGTTACTCCGCTCAGTCCTCCACTACAAGGAAAAGGTTTTTTTTTTTTTTTTTTGGCACAATGACTTGTTGGCTTCATTCAGTCCTTCAGATGTGCCCTAAATGCCATCTTTGTAGGTACCTTAGGAGGTATCTCCTTGGGCTCTAAAGCTTCACATGGTGACAAGAGGAGTCTCTCCTCATTTTAGGCTCCTGGGCCTTGTCTCCTGAACGCGATACCAGTTTTGTAACCCCAGGTACAAAATGGCTTTCATGAGAAGTGTGGGGTGTCTTCCCTGCCACCTTGGGCATGAGTAGTGGCTCGTGTGTGTGTGGAGCTGCCACCACGGCCGGCTTGATGTTGCGGTGACCTGGGTATGTGGGTATGCATTTAGAGCCACAAATATCCATGTCTCCCATTGCTCCACATACCCAGAGAAACTCTGTGTACGGCTCTTAGCCATCTGGAATATTGGTAATTAAGACTTTGTAAGACTCCTAAGCCTCATTTGTCAAAGCAATATCCAAGATGGCAAAGAATAATGATTAATTGGAGGATTCCTAATTAGATGTTACATTTCAATTTGCAGAGTTAAGTAGTCATTTTTTTAAACACTGATGAAAGCCTGAGCCAACTAATTTTCTGTGGCAACCTTTACATAGCTGAGGATTATACAGTAAATTAGTATAACTTTATAAAACTGGTCTTATACTAGCAGCTTTAGAGAGGTGGGAAATAATGTTTATCACGAAGGACAAGAAATGGTAGAGAAGCTGTTGAGAGGTCACTTTATTACTTGTAAGGGGTATTTTTGAAACAGGGCTGTCTAGCAGGGAAAGGTGGTGCAGAAGCATTTGATAGAGACACGGAGGGTGTGTTTACTGCTATTTTCAGTAGAACTTGGGGCAGTAGTGGTGGGAGCAATGGCTCCCGGATTCCTTAGATGGAACGACAGTAATGCCATTTTTTCCAAGGAAAGGGTTAACCAGCTCCTGGTGGAGAGGGAAAAAGCCCTGTCACATGCCATGAGCTGCATGAACTGTCAGGCAGGAGGAGGAGCAGGGGGTGGACCTCCTGGTGAGGGTGCCAGAGGAGCAGCGGGTGCCCTGGGGTTGATCCCTGGTCCCAGAAGGAACCACTCTCATGGGCTCAACAGCTTCTCTAGAGGAGCTGCAGCCCTGGAAGAGCTGGCGACAGCAAGGGACCCCGCTTGGATCCGCGTGAGTGCCCAGCGGTGCGTGTGGAGGGACGATGCTGCTCTTGGGGTGTAGGCACTGCGGGTGGGGGGGTCTCTCTGGTTGTCCTGAGCCATCACCGAACGGCGGGAGCTGCCCTGGTAGCTGGGGCGATAGTGACTTACAGACAGAAAAATCACTTTAAATGACAAGTTAGGGTTGGTCAGGCAGTGGCTATTGCTAGCGTTGGGCTTTACTGGACTGAAATATAACGTAGAAATGGAGTGTAGACCGAACCCAAGGGGCTGAATTACCCTGTTTTGTTCAGCTTTAGATGAGGTTTGGGGTTCTCACTGGAGCAGAAGGTGGCCCTGAGAGCCTCAGATGGAGGGGGTCAACGGTGAAGAGCTCCTGAACCTTTTTCAGCTTGTCAGTGCTTAATTTTTGATGAAACTAGTTTATTGCCATGAAAATGTAAACACGATTTTTAGTGTTTTAAATTGAGGCTCAATGTAATGTAAAAATGCGATTGCTGCATCTGGTCTCCCAACGCTTTCATTTTAAAAATATAGAATAACTCGCTTTTCCTGCCTTGGGCTCAGTATGGTGGCATCAGCTGGTGGAGGTGCTCATAGCATCTGGAGGGGTTGGAGCTGCTTGCTGCTGTGTGCGTGGAGCAAGCGTTGCTCATGAGTGAGGGTGCAGTACCCACCCTGTTCTTTAGACTGCCTTGAAGCTCACTTTGGGTTGTGCTGGGCTGCACGGTGCCTCTGCTGCCCACCACGGCCGCTGTGTTACTCTGGTTTTGCCTTCGTAATATTTTTTTCAATTGTTTCCACTCTGTGTCCTAACAACAACCTATCACACTCTTGCTTGCTAATAGAATGTGAGACACATCTGAAGTCGTGACTGTTCATCCTGTGCATTCATGGTCCTTATTGGTATAGAAAGTAGAAACGTTACCATTCTGGGACATTACTGTTTTGTTCGAAGATGTTACACACTATGCATGTCCAATCATTATGCATGATTATTATACTTATTTATTGCTGTGACCTTTTATTCTGCCTGACCATATTCTCATGGCTTAATTGCTGCTTTAATTTTTCCACTCTTGTTTTCACATCTGTGTAGCTGTGTGTATATAATAGTCCAGGATGAAGTGGCAGTCATTTCCCAGGGGTAGAGAGGGGCTCATCTCTTTGCCAGATGAGGCATACTTGTTAGGACTTGTCACCTCTCTCTCTCCCCTTTTAGCCTGAATTATGGAGTGCAAACATAAAAAAAGTGGATATGTAACATAAATGGCAAATACATATTTTTCAAGTGACAGGTCCAAGCCACATTTACTGCAGTCAGCTTTGAAGCGATTTCCTGGTCAGCATATTTGCAGTGACCTTCATTCTGATGCCATAATCTCATTTTTCATGCATAACTTGATGGTTTTTCTTAGTCAGATTTTTTTTTGTGTTTAATCATTCTGCCAAGTGATTTTGATGTAGACAGTAGGCATATTTAGTGATGAAACATCAGGGTCTGTGACCTTCCAATGCAGCTCTGGTCCAATGTTTTCTTACTGATGTTCTGCAGAATGCAGAACAGCCCAGCTGTATCTACTGGGGGTTCACGGGGACCTCTCTGGGTTTAGCAGCACAAACCTCTGCCTTAAAACAATCCACATGTGTATAGTGTTCGGGTTGGTGTTTTAAGTTTTCATACTGTTTCTTTTTTACAAATGTATTGAATTTTTCTCAGTGTTCGCAGGCTATATTCTGTATTGTTCATACAGACAGAATAAATGCTGTAGCTGAAGCACAGCAACAACAGCCAAATAATGTTATGAATGTCATTGTGTAGACTTTTTGTGTGTTTCAGATATCTTCTTAGATCTGCAGATAATCTTCTTAGATTAGCATTAGGATTAAGTACTATTTTGGAGTGAAATAGAGATGGGTTTATAATTGTATACAGCAATCTCGCTGCTGAATGTCATGGAACAAAATCCTGTCAAAACTGAGAACTTCTCCTCTTCATTTACTTCAGAGAGCATGTGGTAGGGTGGAATTTCAATTGGAAACATGGTTTCAGCTTTTTTGGAAGAGGTTTTTTTTCTTTTCTGGGAACTACATGAGTCTAAAGACTACCTTCAGGTAGAAGATGGAGTTTTAGTCCAAAGCAGACTGTATCTAGATGAGGAGGGCATCTCCTAGGAGAAAGGAAATCCTTCAGAGGAATGAGTGGCTGACTGGGGTCAAGCTTAACGTTGACGTGTCTGTCATACACCGTGCGTCTTGGAAAGCATTGTGTGTTATTCTTCCAAAAGTGTGCTCTGCTGATGGAAAAATGACAAGTGGCTGCTTTTGGACCTCTGAAAAACAAACTTCACCTTTCTGCCCCCAACACAAAGATTAAAATTTTAATGTCCTGTATGTGTCTGACTGTAGATTCAAATGTCATATACTGGAGTGCAATTTATTTCAAATCTTATCACTTCAGAAGGGAGGTGAGGAGACTAAATGGTAGTGAGGGATTCATGATAAATCATCTTGTCCGAAACAGAAATTTTTTAAAAGGGAAATTAGTTGATCTTCTCTCATTTTGCTCTTATGTATTTTATATATATAATATGCATTTAAAGAATTCGTATGAAAATACCCTCCTGCACCTTATGGCAACCAGTTAGCCCTGTGTATCAGATGCAATGGTGTTGAATTGACTTTTGTTGACAAGGCAGCTGTAGAGTTTACAAGCTGCCAGGGATAATTCCTTAGCTAATATACTTTGAAATTTGGTGCCGTGTTTCCTAGGGAATTCCTGGAGGTATTTACGAAGTGTGTAGACATGGCTCTTCAGGGCATGCTCTAGTGGGCAGCGGGGCTGGGGCTGGAGGGAGGGTTCTCAGCGTCACAGTGAGACAGCCTTGGAGGAGGTTTTAATGGAGAGGAAGGAGCAGAAGCAGATTATAGCATATGGGCTTCCAGAAAACACTTTGGTAAAGCAGCTCCGTGCAGTACTTCACTCCGCATATTTTGTCCTTGACTGTTTTAGTCATCTCTTCATAACTTAGCTGTTCAGCAGACTAATACAATAGGTGTCCAGGGAGGAGTCAGTGTTCCTTCCAAAGATGTTGAGAGGAAAATGGCGTTTGGAGGAGTTGTGTTTTTGGTTTGTTTTTTTTTTTATGGAAGCAATTTGTAAGGTTAAAAATAAAGGTCAGTCACCAGGGATCTGTCTAAAGGACCGCTTTCAGGCAAACTTAATTACTAGATGCACAACACCTCCTGCCCTGCTCCATCCCAGTCATGTCAGAATTCCCATCGAACCATGTAAATGAGGATTTTTTGTGAATTCTGGATCATAAAATTAAATAGAGAATTATCGTGATGTGCCTTGTGCTATTTGTGTCTCTCATATCCTCAGTTTGTGTTAAGACACCCTCAAGGTTCCCTTGACCATGTAGATATGTGCGCAATATATTCCTCTAGGTCGTTGAAAGCTCTTCAGGGAGTATGGTGAGAGTTGCCTCTGCTGCTTTGTTGGGGGTTTTTTTGGTGTTTTTTGGGGATTTGTTTGTGGTGGGGGTTTTTTCCCCAGTAAAATTGATACTGATGTATGTTTGGGAGTTATTTTTCAGTAAACATGAAGCTATAGCAGAAGATGCTCTTTATTACCTATTCTTCCTGATAAGTGTCACAAAGGTGGAAGTCAATGGTTTTCTATAGCAAACGGGAGTTTTTGAAAATACAGAGATTTGTCCTATTGTTTTCCAGTGTGAATTACCGCAGGTTTCTTCAAACTCCTCCTCATCTGAGAATACAATAGGCTCCTGTAGCTTTGGGGTGTATTAGAGTATAGAGGATTTATGCTAAAAACGTCTTTTTGATACTTCTTTGTTTTCTTTTATTTCTAATTCAGGTATCGGTGCTCTTTTAAGAAACACTCTTGACACACCATGGTGTGCTTTTACTTGTTTTGAGCAAGCCTGGGTTTTGGTAGGCTGGGCACCCTATTGTTTTGACACATTTTTCTAATATACAAAATTTGAACCCTCATCCCATAAGTAAGATTTAGGTTTGCTTAAGCAAATAATTCTTTTTAGTGGGTCACAGCCAGCCACTCATGTGTGGGGATTATTTTGTTGCCACAAGAATGGTTTTTGGATCTCGGCAGCTCTCTGGGGGGCAAAACTGGGAAGCCGAGTCTTTGGATGATTATTCTGTCTTTTTTTTTTTTTTTTTTGATTATTTTGTTGCCACAAGAATGGTTTTTGGATCTCGGCAGCTCTCTGGGGGGCAAAACTGGGAAGCCGAGTCTTTGGATGATTATTCTGTCTTTTTTTTTTTTTTTTTCTTTCTCATTTCCAAATTTTATGAATTATATATTTCACTTTCAAAATTTAAGACAAAAAGGGAGGAGTTGACCTGAAATAAATAAATCCAAGTTAAAAGTCAAAGCTGAAGCTAGAATGGTAACAGAATGTTAATAAAAAGATAAAAATATAATCTGATGCTGGAATATTCAGAAATTCTCGAAGAGATGCCAGCCCTCACTGAAATTCATCCATAAAATTTATTCAAGACTGAATTTAGGTGAAGTGCTTGCAGAAACTTTCTGAAATACATATTTTCTCAGCATCAGGTGAGCCAAAAGTCCACTCTTCAGGACTTCAAGCCTCCTTATCTGCCACTGCATGATCCATTATTTTACTGTTCTTTCTGGGTGAAACTTTAAAAGGATTTGAATGAAGTTAAATGTCCAATGCCCATTCAGTTATGTTCTTAATCAGATTCTGGGTTTTTTAGATAAAGGCAATAACGTTTCCTTTTTATTCTGCTTATTGGATTCATTGGAAACACTTGGGTCCTTAAGTAATAGGGTCTAACTGCAGAATCTGTTCCCAAATTAATTTTGTCAAATTTTCATCTATATCTCCATTTAGTAGGTAGAGATGTTACATGCTTTTAAAAAGGAATCTTTTTTGTTTGTTTGTTTTTTAAGCTGACCATCACAAATAGAAAGGGTAACTTCTTGCACTGCCACTCTTGTCATCTATAGCTGAATATATACATGAAAAGTATTTGTGGGAAATCTTTGGTTGAAGTGAAGGGAATGGGTTACTTGTGTTAGGGGCTGGGTATCTGTTGTTTGAGGAGGAGAGCAGTGGGGTGGCCGCCGTTCCAGCGGAGCATCCCTCCCTCCCTGTCTGCAGCCTGGCATCAGAAGCAGCTGTGAGCCCGGGCTCTGGAAATGCACCACTCCACGTGTGCCTTAACCGCGCGGTGTGACCAGCAGTGATTTGTGCAGTATGTTTTGATTGTGTGTACAGAAAGGTGACATAATGTATAAACTGTTATTCAGCCTGAGAACTTGCATACGGCTTCTCCTACAGGGAGTCTTTATGTTGGTAAGATTTATGTTACTTTAACAAAGAGGCTGTATACCCTGAGGAGGATAGTGCTGACTGAAGATCTTGGTCCTGAAATATTAGAAAGTTGGGAGAGATGACCTGCGACTGCCCGAGAAGTGTGTGTGTGTGTTTCTTTTAAATCATCCCCAGCTTAAGCCAACCCCAAACGGTTCCCATTGCACCCACGTGGAGCCAGAGCTCCCTGTGTGGAAATGCCGATTCTGCTACTTGGCGTTTTCTTCTGCAATGACCAGTTGGGGTTCCTCCTTGAAGGGCCACGCTCGGGTTCGCTGTTGCCAGTCCAGAACTGAACACTGTTCCCAGTCAAAATGTTAACATTTGACAGAAATTTAACTTGATTTATAGGTTACACCTGCTCTGCCACTCATTCCCCATGGGATTCTAAGAAGGTGCTGGGGAAATGCAATAGCAGCACAGAGCTCTTCTGCTCCTCCCCTGCTTGGTTTTGGGGTGTTTTTTGGGAGTGGCGGTGTTGGGGATTTAAAAAAGCAAAAGATCTGTGGGATACAGGAATATGGAATATACCAAGGTATTTTTGCCTTGTTCTTGAAACTGGCTATCTGAAGAAAAACATGATTATTTGTCTTTATTCATTTAGCGTTTTGAGAGTTAAAGCAAAAAAAAAAAAAAACCATAAAAAGAATAATTTCAAAAAAGAGTAATTTTGAAAGTTTAAAATTGGCTGTTTCTTGAATATTGACTTCAGAGTACACAGGTTGTAAAGGTAAAGTTTGCAAAGGCTAGCAAAGAAAAAGGGAGACTTGCCCTGTGTATGGCTGAGTACACATACAAACTAGTGTGTTTATTTTGAAGCGCAAATGGTACTTAGGTGCAGGTAGACCTAAATCTTCAATTCAATTTAGCATTAAGACTAGCAATTTTAAAGTATTAGTTACTCCAAGGGTTGAATTGACTGTAAAATGTAGGGGAAATGTCCTTAATTAAAAGATATAATGTAATTCTTTTTCAACTAAATTGTTTTTTCTTTGTCCTTTTAGGGTATAAAGCCAGCAAGCTTTGAGAAAGTTACTGATCCTGAAATTAAGGAGATAATTGGGGAGTGCATTTGCAAAAATAAAGAAGAAAGGTTTGTTTCAAATAATCAAGTTTTGTATTAAATCATGTGTATGCAGGGATTTCAAAGCTGCTTAGATTTTTGTTCTGGCCTCTGGATATATCTGCTATAATGTCAGGATAATTGAATAAATGCCATTGCTGTGTCTCTTGACCTCTCAGCTACAAAGAATAAGGTCAGAAAGCATCGTTGTGGATGTGTGAGCTGGGTATTCTCACACATTCTGGCACAGCTGTCCATAAAATCTTGCTCAGGAGGTGCTGCATGGAGCACTGAGTGTGGTGGACGTCGACCACAAATGCGACGTGGTAGATTCACCGCAAGCTGTTGGAGCAGATTCCATTGGCTCATTAGCTTTGGATATGAAGACAAATTGTGCCTTGTTTCCAGCTAGGGTTTTAAAACCTAGTCTTCTCATACTGGCCTCTCCTAGATGAGTGTCTCTACTGTTCAGTATTTCATAACTTTCACAAGTACAGTTTTTAGGGACCTCTACTGACTACTTAGAGGGAACCTCTTTTTTAGTACTGATTAAGCCCAGATACTCAAGAAACATTGAGCAAAGCTATAATCTGTGGTGGTTCAGTGTGTGCTTATGGTGTATGAATATTGCTGAAGCCTTGTGAAATAGAAAACACCGTTTTTTCAGCAGTCCTCAATAACACTGAAAGTGCTGTGTCTTTTTGCTAAGAACACGAATTTGTTATGGATGAACATCAAACATACTATAAACGTCCTCACCTTTAACAGCAGTTTTATGTCACAAACTTATTTGAAAATGCTTGAGACTTGCAGTATTTTAATATTTTTTTATATCCATTGCAGATATGAAATTAAAGATTTATTAAGCCATGCCTTTTTTGCTGAAGATACTGGGGTAAGAGTGGAACTTGCAGAAGAAGACCATGGTAGGAAATCCTCTATTGCCTTAAGACTCTGGGTAGAAGATCCTAAGAAACTGAAAGGAAAACCCAAAGATAATGGAGCCATTGAGTTTACTTTTGATCTGGAGAAGGAAACTCCTGATGATGTTGCACAAGAAATGGTAAAATAAACTTCTCCTGACAAAAAATGTGTATATATATAAAGTAGTGCGTAAATCTCAAAGGAGAGCAGGAGTGAGTCTGGTAAAGTAACTTCCAGTTAAACCCTTCCAGGTGTCGAGTTTAAGACGTTTGCATTGATTCTAGAACGAATGCTACAAGAAAAGGGGAAACAGGGAAGAACTAATAACTAAAAAATATTGTTTGCCAAGTATGAAAACAGATGCATGAAATGGCAGTCCAAATAGCTTAGGGACCAGAGGGGAGGTCTCTTCTGCTTCTATGTTTTGAAAACTCTTTAAATTTCTTTGAAATCTCTTTAGTTTCAGACAGCAGCTTGAAATAAATTAGAGGAGTTCGATCACAAAATATTCTGTGCTGAATTCTTCAAAACACTTCTTTCCATCTTTTCTGTTAGTGTTACTTAGGAGGGATGTGGATGAGGAAAGTTGTGGTCAGCCACTCTGTCACCAAACGTAAATAGGGGTCTAGATTCAAGTCCACTGCACTGAGTTAGGAATAAGCTTTGGATTTTTTGACAGATAAGTTTAACTTGGTGAATTTCTGTATCTTTATAACTTGTAGGGTTTTGTTAGAGAAACTACTTTGTGTTCCACTTTCACTATATAGTCCTTGAACTTGTGTTTTAGTGATGCCTTTACTGCAGTTTTTAGGTTTTCTAACGTCATGGGAACATGGAATCAGTAAGCACTTAGTCAAGGGTCTGAATTTTCTTGTGCTTGCAGAACTGCTCCTATTATATCCTAAACCCCAAGGGATCCCATTTAATGATGTTGTCATCACCACTGCTCAGAGAACATTTTGACAATGTTACTTTACTATGCTTGGACCTATCACCATGACTCCAAATTTAGCGGGAGAAATTCAGGCTCCTTGTCGTCTTGCAGTAGTTTGCAGTAGGTCCAATGTTTTTTGAGCAATGTATTGTTACAGAGCTCAGTTCATTTAAAAATTGCTCTGGTACAGTTACTTTCTGTTATATTTTACATTTAAATATCTATGGAAATATTTGAAGTTTTGAAGCTCTGTGGGTTACTTGGCCCATAGTTGTAATACTTTGCTTTCAAGAGGACATAAGTCTCATAAAACGTATACTTAAAACATCCCTCCCAAATTACTGTCATATTATTCCCTTTCCCAAATTAGTAAAACACTGGCTTTTAAAGATAATATTAACGGTTATCTAAGTGAGTGTGCATGGAATGAGGCTATTGAGGGGGGCAAAGGAGGACGTTCATTCCTAAATGCCTTTTGTAGCCCATATAAATTGTGGAATACCAAAGCTATCTGCTTTCATTAATTTGTGTTACTTTATGTGCTGTGGAAGAGAAGAATGCAGGAGACCGTCTGAGTATAGGGAATTATTTATCATTATTGATGGGTTTTCAGTAGTCAGTGTTCCAGCCTGTCCAAACTATGTGGGCAAAAGGAACCTGAAACGTAACCCAGGTTACATTTCACAACCAGAGGGTACTGTAAAATAGCATGTCTTCATTAAACTCTAACCATTCTGTATATAGACATGTAGGAATAAGAATTGGTTTTTAAAAGGTTGCTAATGTGGCAGCTTTTCGTTGCCTTCCTATTAAGCTTTGTCACAAAGAACCTACTGGGCACGTTAGTTGATACCACACAAGGTTCTCTCAAGTAACTCCCTCCCGTCAATAGGATTTGCTGGATCAGGAATGTCAGTAAGGTCTGAGGGCACAGGCAGTGGAAAATACCTATATCCATCTGCAGCTGTGTTTTAAGCTGCTTTGCACCTATTTGCTTTAAACAGTGAAAAATCTAAGCTGTAAAATTGTCTCGTGTTTGGTCAAGAGCAAAGAAGGAAAACCTCTAGATTTCCTCCATGTATGTAAGTGCCTCCAAATCTGTAGGATATGCATGTTAAGAATGTAGGGAGAGCAGACGAATCTCTGGTAAGTCATTATTAAACTAAAATTCATACCCTATGCTGTAGGAGATTATGCAAATAAACAGCACAAAGATGAATTTCCATTTATCTGTTGAGCAGTTGAATTCTGAAAGAGCCTGGTCCCCTTTGCAGTAAAATGTGAACAGTCTGCATATGACTCAATGATAGGCTTTTTCTTTATGGAAGTCAATCAATACTGACTGACTTTACCATTTAAGAGAAGTTAATTTGAGACAAAATTCTGTTACCATCCCTTCATGACTTGCTGTGGTACCAAGTGTATACTGGAAAGGTTAAGGCAATAAATTCTGACTGGTAGTGTATTTTACTCCAGTGGCATTATTCAAAGAGCATTTTTCAAAGGTGTTTTTTTCCTCTTTTGAATATTCGGTTGGTCTTTCAAAAAAAAACAAAAACAAAACCCAAACCCTGGGAACCTATCTATAGTTAGACTTGATCTCTGCTTCTTGATGGATGGTAACTGGTAAATAAATTGACCCAATTCAGGTCTTAGAAATTGCCTATTGTTGTTTTAAAATGCGTTAGGGATAGAAGTCTTATTCAAAAAAAACCCTATCAAGCTCTTGAGTTCCTGTTCTTGTGAGGAATAGATGTGATATACATGTTATTTCAGACAGATGTTTTCTCTGTCAGGAAGAGATTAGAGTAATCTGTGTGTGCACACGTGTGCGTGTCCATCCACACACCTATGGTCTCACTAAGTTTGTGCCTCCTCTGTAGATTGACTCTGGATTTTTTCATGAAAATGATCTCAAGATAGTTGCAAAGTCAATACGTGACAGAGTAGCATTGATACTGTGGAGAAGAGAGAGAATATGGCCTAGGATGCAGTCCGAGGAACGTCGGGACTCCGAGTGTCTGGAGAAGTTGAAGACGCCGCATGCGCAGCAGGTCCAGGTCACCTACCTTTCCCACACCGGTCACCATGTCCTGTCCGAGTCGGAGGAGCCCGAGGCAGACCAGCACCCCTTCCAGCAAAACCTGCCCACCAGCGTCACTTCTGTCGCGTGTAAGTCTCTGCCGGGGTTTGCGTGCACGAGTGTGGTCAATACCCCAGGGTAAGAGTCAACCACAGTCTGAGCTGCTGTGTGCACAGTAGCTCAACAAACGCAAGCATCTCAGAGAGATGTGCAAACTTTGAAAGAAATAAACTTTCAAGAAAAACTATTTTATGTAGAGATAGCTCCTTCAGTAGCAGTAAATGCAAAAAACATAAAATGTTTGTAGATAGAAACACACGGAGACCTGCTGCTAGACAAAAAAAATACATGTTTTCTGTGCCAGATAGTGGGATCAACATTAAGTTCATGTGAAACTCCATTTCAGAGCCTGCAGAGGTTGAATTGGCACCAAACTGGTCAGAGCGACTGGTGGCTTTTTCAAATGATGTTGGCATGTGGGGAGGTTTATTCAAAAGTAGACCTTGCTGAAGCCAAAGCGCTGTGGTTTCTCGTGTTTTGTGAGTCAATCTTGATGGCTTGTGTGAACTTTTTTGTGAAGCTGTGCAAAGTCTACAGTAAGAAAAAAAAAAAAAATCAGTCTCAGATTTTCCATGATGTAATTCAAGATTTCTCTGTTTTGTGGGGAATATCAGCTGTGGTTTGGTCACACGTGTTGGGAGCAGCAGACCCTGTGGGTTGACGCTGTCATTATCACTGGGTCCTTTGGTGACGATGCGAGTGCTCTCTGTTCCTCCAGGCTCTGTTTTGTCCTGAGCTCGTGCCCTCAAAGCAAGGGGGTGGTTCATCCCCGTTACGGCAGGTCAGAGTAGGTAGTTGCTCTCCTCATCCAGGCCCTGGTAGCTACAAGCTGATGATCTGCCCACTCTTCATGTTCAGCTGGGGCTGGTTCAGAGGTGATGGCTGTGCTGTTTCTAGAGAGATGGATCTACATCTCCTGTTTTAATTCCCAGCACTGATTTTGGTCTGTCTCTGAATAAGAAACTGCCCGGCTTTGCTTGCAGAGCTTGTTGTTTCTGCATCTTATTTCTGAGTCACTAGACCCATCTCCAGCCAACACCAAGGCATGAGGAAGTAGTGCTTTTATTTCCCTAAAGTAAGCTGTCCTCTGTCCCCTAAAATCACCCTTTGTTACCAAGTCAAGCCCTGGTATTGAAATCTTAATTTATTTATACTTTTAAATGTCTTGAAAGAAATATTGCCAGGTATTTTTAGCTTGGAAGATTTGAAACTTTATGAGAGTTCTTTTTTTTTCTAGTTAGTTTTCCTGATAAAATCTGATGTACGTATTTTGCTACCAAACTATTATCATAATGGTTCTGTTTTACTGTTCTGGACTTTTATGCAAGCATGTTTAAGTTAAAGATACATTATCTTTAGCAAAGAGACAGCTGCTGCTTTAATTCAGGTATTGTATAAATTGCTATACAGAGGTCTGCTTTGAATACTAAAATAGCCAAGCACGCCTCTACAAGAAAATAAAACATTGAAAGATATGAGAAATGGCCATATTTGCATAACTCTCAGAATACTGCAGTATTTACAAAGCCTTTTTTCAGAAGCTAAATGGATCTCATTTCATTTTTTTGGATCATATACTTAATTCATGCTATCTAATTCCTTTGAGGAACACTGTAATTATGGCTCTTTTTGTTTCCAGTAGTACAATGAGGCTCCTTGTGCTTCCCATGGTTCTGTTGGACATGAGTTGGCAGAATTTTATGCTAAATATAAACCCCGCAGTTTATTTCCTACTCCTCCTCGAATTTTAACCAATGCTTGGTATTAGTTGACAATTCACTGTCAGATGTCTTTGAACATTTTCTTAGTGATGTTAGGTCCAAAACCCCTGTAAATTACCCCTACCAATTCATAATCTAAGGTCAAATGTTAAAATGTAAATTAACTTGTTTTTTTAATAGCCAAATAATCAAAACCTTATTTGGAATATGGAAAAAAGGGAAGATAGAAAGTGTCGGAAAAAGAAATAACATTTAAACTTAGCTGTAACTTAAGCCATTTTTTTGTTACCGTGGTACAGTTTTCTTTCAGTTTTGACTTTTAAATCTCTGTTACAAGCTCTTTGTCTTTTGAGTACTTACAGCTACAGTTTTGATTGTCTCATTTTATTTCTCTTATGAAGAAAACAGTAGCTTATGCTCAGGAGGAACTGGGTACATGTACTTTACAGACTTCAAAATACGTGAAAAGACATTTCAAAATCTGTAATACCCAATGGTACAGTTAAGATTTATTTCTGTGTGAGAAAAGATGCAGTGCTTGCCCAGTCCCCGCAGCTGCGCAGTTCTGCAGTTTAGCTGAACAGACTCACTGCATGAGAAACTCCGACAGAGCCCTGAGGGGTACTCCTAAATAGCTGCAAACCTGCTAATTATTTTGTTATCCGCTCCTCATCTCAAGGTATTGCTGCCTTCTCAAATAGGGTATGGTTTGCCAAACTAATAAAACATACAATATAGAGAATTTTGTAATTTTCAGTGCTACTAATAAAAAAAGGTGTTAAAGTTGGGCATCCCTGGGAGATCTAACTCTAAAAGGCTCCATGATCTGCTATGAATGTTACAATTGGGGTTTCCTTTCCTTTCCTTTCATCCTACAAAATCTATAAACGTCTGCAGTTCTTAATGTCAACCTCATGCCCTTTAAAGGAAATATCAATGTGCCTGAAATATCGTCATGCACAGAAATCCATGGGGATGGGGTTTGGCTTAAGAGCAGCAGTATGTGCCTTTTGGAGAATATAGCATTAGTGTTGTATAAATTATTTATATAATGGAAAGGGCTAGAGTAGTAAAAATGCTAATTACGTAAACCAGTGTTGACCTTGCTCTAAAATCATTACTTGAATGTTTGGAGGTGTTGAGCTTTTAATAAAAAACATTGTTCTTTCAGCCGACAGCACATTTGACAGTGGCCAGGGCTCCACTGTTTATTCAGACTCCCAAAGCAGCCAGCAAAGCGTCATCTACTCGTCTCTGCCGGACCCGGTGCCTCCTGCTCTCCAGCGGGTGTACAGCCCCCCTCTGAGCGAGAGCCAGGCTGTGCCCCACGGCCTTCAGCAGCTGGGGCACTACCAGCAGCCCTCCGGAGTAAGTCTAAAGCTTTTCGTGCCCTAGATCCTACCTCAGGGCTCGTTTATAGTCGTTTGCTGTAGGTGTGGATCCCAGGATTCGTGTATTCCTCGCTCAGCTGTGTTGACGGTGATGTGCTTAGTAATACATCTCTGGTTGGTCTGAAACGTGCGCTCAGTAGATGGTGTCTGGCTGTATTTGCTGTTGTGAAGAGATCACAGAATCTTCGTGGTTGGAATGGACCTTTGAGGTCATCGAGTCCAGCCATACAAAAAAAAAAAAAAAAAACACCAACCAAAAAACCAACACACAATACAAAACACAAAACAAAACACCCAACCCGACAATCTTGGGCACTAGAGCATGCCCTGAAGTGCCAGTCTACACGTTTCTTAAATCCCTCCAGGGATGGTGACTCCACCACCTCCCTGGGCAGGCTGTTCCAGTGCCTGACCACCCTCTCAGTAAAGTAATTCTTCCTAATATGTAATCTCAACCTCCCCTGCTGCAACTTCAGACCATTTCCTCTGGTCCTGTCATTATTCCCTTGGGAGAAGAGGCCAACCCCCACCTCTCTACACCCTCCTTTCAGGGAGCTGTAGAGGGCAATGAGGTCTCCCCTCAGCCTCCTCTTCTCCAGACTAAACGTGCTCAGTTCCCTCAGCCTCTTCTCATATGACTTGTTCTCCAGACCCCTCACCAGCTTGGTGGCTCTCCTAATGAGATGCTTTGCTGGCAGCTGTCAGACTTACAGTAAAAAAACTCCTTATCAATCCACTGCCACTAAACTGCATTGGTAGCTTTGCAGTTATTAGTTTCAAACTCATGCACGCATTTGAGAACAGTTCTGTTTGGTTTTGTTCACTGTGGCTATAGCCACATGTTACTGTTCCTTCATTTGTTCAGGAGCCTCTTGGGTCTGATATTTTTTCCAGTTGTGGCAAAGATCATGCATCCAGTCACTGCCTTTCTGGTTCTGGGCTTGGATTTAATCTTGCACAGAGTTGGCGACGTTTCTGGGGGTCCAAAATCAGGCACTGGTAGCCCAGGCAGACTTGCTCCCGTTTTCATGCTGTTGTGACTGTGACCAAAAGCAATTCATGGAACTACCAGCGCAAGAGTGAGCACATGTGAGTTAATATAAATCTTCAGGTGCTTCCAGTGAGAGGCACCACATGAGTGTGTTGTCTCCTTCAGAAGCTGTGGCAGGACCCTGTTCCAGCCTGCGCCCCTTACACGCAGAGGGCAGGGCTAGTGCTCGCCCTGCTTTTTGCAGCCACAGGGACCACACCATGGCCTTGACCCCAAACATGGCTCCAAACTCCTTCCCCAAGAACCTGGAGAAGAAAATGAAGATCTGCAGGCTAGAGAAAAGGCAGCAGGTGCGTCACCTTTGGTGGCACTGGGGATCTGTACACGGTTCCTCAGCAGCCTCCTCAGATGTTCCTAGGCTGCTGGCTTCAGTCTGGCCAAGATGAAAACGTGTCAGATGTTCTGGATGCCTGGTGAAAGTGCTCACTCTCCAGATAGCCAGGCTCCACGGCTCAGGCTCTCCCGCCAGTCAGTGGGCCCTGGGGCAGCAGTTTAGACCTGCCTCTGTTACATGCATCTTTGCAACACGTAATTAGCCAAAAAGACCAGTTCTTCTCCCATGAGATCTGCAAAAGTTGCAGAAAACGTTCTGCCTTCTGACTGCTGCTGTGGCGGCGAAGCCTGGGGAGTCCCAGCCCTGGTGTAAAGGCAAAACTCCAGGAGCAGAGAGCAGGCCGGTGACTGCAGCCTCTCCCAGCAGGGGAGACAGCCTGCCCACTGCAAATGGTAGTAATGATGTGGTAGGTTAATTTTTGTTGTTGTGGTTTCGTCCTATTTGATTTAAGAGAAGAAAAAAATAAAGTCCAGAGCTGATGTTTTTTTCCTGTTTGATCCAGATTTACCCTACGTGCTTGGGAAGTGCATCGTGTCTCCTGCTTTTATCTTTTCTTTTTCCAAAATGCCTGCAAAAAATGACAAACTGTTTTTCGTGAATGCATCCAAACACGTCTCCATTTACCTGAAGGAGAAACAATTCATCCTTGGCATCTGTAGCCAGCTCCCCCCGCTGTGGGAACTCCCTTCCCTATGGGCTCCTCTCCCGGGATGCGTCCTTCCTCGCTGCCCGTTCACCTGAAGCACTACCTTAACAGCTCCGAATATAGCACTCAAAAGGCACATCTTGAGCAGAAAATCCTTTATTAAATAGAGCTGTGCAGCACACTCATTCTTTCTGTTGATAGGTTTCAGTAATTTTACCCTAAATGCATTACTACTTTCATGACTGAGGATTTGGCAAGATAAAAACCTTTATTCATGAGCAAAGTATTTCTCATAACCTTTTATTTTCTGGTGGGGTTTCTATATTTTTTTTTCTTCCTGAGATAACTTAGGTAACAAGTTCCAACAAGTACAGGAAACAAAAGCCTTGACTCAAAACCTTCCATTTTCCCAGAAATAAAAAAAAAAAATAAAAAAAAAATCACTGTGTTTATCTGGGAGATTATTTACCAAAATGACAAGCACATAATCTGAGCTGTAGTTGGTTGGGTTTTTTTTTTTTTAGGCTTATGAACCTCAGTCTGATGTACTGTTTAATTTAGCTACTTTGTTTGAGCTGAAGTTTTAGAGAATTGCTCTTCTTACAGACCTTATCTGAATTTATTTTGATTTTTTTTTTCACTTCCACTGTGTTTTTAATTTCTTTCTCATTTCCCTTTTTCTTGGCATCCATTTCAAGTAAATTACCTGCTTTTTTGGAAGATGAAGTTTCTTAATAAAATTCTTCATGAAGAAGATCTTCGTGAATCTTCATCAAAAGTCTTCATGAAGATAAATTCATTTCTCACCCAGTTAATGGCTTGTTGTTGCGGTTGGTGCATTCTCAGTGTGTGTGTGTGCTTCCAGTGGTTTTACTGGGCTTCAGAAGGAAATGCAGTGCAATTTGTTTGTGTCATTTGGAATTTGCCGACTGTTTTCTACATATTTAAAGTAACTTTCCATATTTTTTTTTCCCTGTTGTGTTGAACCGGGTACCCAGTAGACTATTCCCTTGCAGTGGCTGGGACCCTGGAGGTGTGGGTTGCCCTTCTCTAACGCCATGCTCTCTCTCTCCCTCCCTCCCGCAGGCTGGGCTCCCCGCCGTGCCGCCCGCGCCCGCCGTGGTGCCCCCGCGGCCCCAGCACTACCAGGAGCCAGCCATGCCCTTCCCCGTGGTCCAGCCCACCACTGTCGCCTCCCTGCAGCTGGGGCAGCCGCAGCCGGTGCTGGCTGGCCAGCAGGTGAGAGAGCTTTTGGGGTTTGAAACTGTGGAATTGGCACTTGGGAGACTTAGGGATGGGGCGAAGGGCTTTGGGCTTAAGAGGGGGAAGAGTGAGGGGCTGAGGGCAATTGTTGTGTGGTACCTTGGAACGCCTTGGTGGAGGTTAAGGCTTCTGTTGTGCCTCAACAGCAGCAGCTTTGCACTGATTTCAGTGTCCTGTCTTGGTCCTTAGACATCCAAAAGTTTTTTTATTAATTTTGCATTGTTATTTGGCACCTCCTATCTAGAAGGTTGGAAGGAGACTCCGTTGGCTGGTGTCACTTGTCTTTGCATCCTCAGCGCTGCGGCTGTTTGAGTTGTACAGTTTGTGTGTTAACTACAGTTCAGTATCAGCATCCAGCCAGAGCTTTCTCTTCCAAGAGAAGAGTCTGTCTCTCTCTGAATTGTCTCCAAATAGTAATTCTCTGTGTGTTTGGAATTACCAAATTCCCCCCAAAACCTGTGTTCCTTATTTACAAAGCACCTCTGGAGCAGCTGCAGTGGCCTCCTTGCGCAGAGGTGCCATGAGCTGGGGAGCAATGACCCCAGACGTGTCCAGCAGGGTAATTCGGGGCTCATTTCTGTGATTCTGCCAAAAGCTGGGCTTCTTTTGATAGAAAGAAAGCATTGACGGGGCTGGGGAGTGTCTGTATACTTTGTGACTGGCATATATCAAACCTCTCCAAACCTTTTTAACCACCAACTTAGGATTCCTTTTTATTTTTTTAACATGCCCTATTCTTCTGAAAGCATCAGTGTAAGAACAGTGTAATTTGGTCTCCTTGAAAAACATACGCATATGTGAAGTTCTGTCACGTCACGGGTTTTTTTTTTAATGGGCAGGGATATTCTGATGGTTCTCTCAGCCAAAAATTTTACACTTACACAAGTTTAGGACCTCACCAGTTGTACAGATCTCTTTAGTGGCCTCTGGTGCTTTATACTGACAGTTCAAAATCTGTTGTTTATTTTCCCTCATGAGTAAATGCTGGTTTGGAATAGGATATTTGCCCAATTTGCTCAATTTCTTTCACACGCCCTTTCCTCACAGCATTGCTGTCTCTTGAAATAATTCTATCCCTGATAGTAAAAGGATTTAATAACTAGACTGTCTTTGTTTTCTAATCTTGCAACAGAAAACCTGACTTTTTACAGTATTATTATTAGAGAAATAGGTAAAATGATGAAGTGTCTGCGCAGAACTTCCCAGAGCATCTGTGTCCCTCAAAACCAGAAGTAGGTCTGCTGCTCCTAGAGTCCCCTGGTGTGATGCTGTGAGCAGTGGAGAGCTGCAGTCTTTTGTAAATGAACAGGAGGGCAGGTCAACAGCAGAATGGGAGAGAAAAATTCATCTGCCTGACAGAATGAAATGCACTGATTTTGTGTGAATATGCACTGATGGCTCAGACACATGGGATTAATGCTGCATCTTGGGTTTGTTTTATTTTCCAATTTGGGTATCTGTGCATTTATAGTGTTAAGGTTATAATGAGGCAAAGTTGGCATAATTCATTTGGATATTTTCCCCTCCCTGTGCTTCATCCAACTAACAAGCATTTTGTAAAACACAAGCTGAATTTGTAGTGGAGGCTTTAGGAAGCTCCTTTGTTCCAGGAGCACACTTCTGCTTTTCAGGCAGTGTCCTCTGGAGCCGAGGGTGGGTGGCAGCCCGTGTCCTGTGCTCAATCCTCCATGCCTTGTGGGCAGTCTGTCTGAGCTGAGGATTAACCCTGTGCCCAGATACCTGAGCTGGCTTTGGGTGCTTTTTGGGTTTATTAGCTCCAGCCCAGCACCATGTGAGTGTCCCGCTCCCGAGGCCGGGTCAGGTCTGGCAGGAGTTTCCCGTGTTGCAGAGCTCATGCTGTGGGATGAGGGGGGGCTTGAGTGGGGTCCCCCCACAACCTCAGTGGGGCTCTGTCCCAGCCGGTTTGCTCTGTCTCATCCCCAGTGCCAGCCCAGCTCCTGCTGGTCCCTTCAGTCTGGGATTTTAACTGGGTAAATGCCGCTGCTTTCCCAAAACCTGGAGTGCCAGGAGCTGCAGTACAGAGCCACATAATTGTTTGGTTTTTTTTAGTGTGACAAGATGAATACTCAGACAGGACTCATGCTGTCATGAGGTGTTGGAGCCCCTCTGCTGTGGGGACGGGCTGAGAGAGTTGGGGGGTTCAGCCTGGAGAAGAGAAGGCTCCGGGGAGACATTAGAGCCTCTTCCAGTCAAGGGGCTCCAGGAAAGCTGGGAGGGGAACTCTGGATGAGGGAGGGGAGCCCTAGGAGGAGGGGGAAGGGTTTGATGCTGCAAGAGGGGAGATGTAGGTGAGATCTCTGGGAGAACTTGTTTGGTGTGAGGGTGGTGAGAGCCTGGCCCAGGTTGCCCAGAGAAGCTGTGGCTGCCCCATCCCTGGAGGGGTTCAAGGCCAGGTTGGAGGGGGCTTGGAGCAACCTGGTCTGGTGGGAGGTGTCCCTGCCCAGGGCAGGGGGTGGGAATAGATGGTCTTTAAGGTCCCTTCCCACCCAAACCATTCATGATTGTAATAAACACGACAGGAGCTGAGCTGGTGCTGTGCAGTTACTCCATGCTGTCTCCAGCATGTCCTGCTCTGCTCGTGGCACTCTGTGCCTTCAGCCCCTCACGCTCGATACCGGTGGCCAAATGCTCTTTTGTTCGCTGATCCTTGTATTGGAATCTTACCGGCCGTGGCTGAATTTTAGCTATTTAAGGGTGGATCTTGCTTCCTTGATCCATCTTCTACCGTTTTATTGTATTAGTACCTAACAACTGGTTGAAGAATCCTGCCACTAAAAAAGCGCAGAGCAAAATGTTATGATAGTGATTACAGTGGAAGTAGTGAAGATGAAAGATTATAACACTTGGCTCTTTATTTTAAAGTTACCTTTTGACGGCTGGGTACGGTGTTAGGTTCTTTGTGCTGCAGAGCGTGGGTGAAGCAACTGTAGAATCACACAACCACAGGTTAGAAGGGACCTCGAGGATCATCTGGTCCCACCTTGGCAAATGTACGGTCTAGAGAAGGCAGCCCAGTACCCCCTCCAGCTGAATTTTAGAAGTGTCCAATGATGGGGAGTCCGCTTCCCTGGGAAGATTATTGCAATGGCTGATTCTTCTCGTTGTGAAATTATTTTCTCGTTTCCAATTAGAATCTCCCCAGGAGAAACTTGTACCCATCACCCCGGTCAATCCTGTGGTCCCAAGTAGGTCAGTCCAGAACCAACGTGGTGTCTCCGTCCTATGCTTCTGAAACAGATTTTTTTAAAAGCAATTTCAGCATTAATTAGAGGAACCAAAGAAGGAGATACTAGTAGCATGGAAAATATGGAAGTTGTTACTGTTTATTTTCATCTTTAATGCAGCTGCTTATTTCTGTTCTGCTGTGTGACATCCAGCAGGCCAGTGGAGCACGGCTTTCCCTGGAAGGGTAAAAACTGCTATTTTGGCTGCCACGTGGTTACTACAGCACCTCAGAAATATAACTGGGATCCAGCTGTTACTGTAATTATTGTGTTTTATTCATGTCTCAGATAATAAGTGTTGTATCTTTCAGTGCCTGCTACATTATGTAGTCAGCTGTTGAATGCCAAGATTAGCTGGGTATAATCTGCATAGTAGGAATCTTTGAAGTTAGTAGGTGGGGATTTTACAGGGCCAACTAGAACCTTCTCTGGGATTTAGAGTCTGAGTCATTACAAATAACCTTTCCAAGACAGTTAGAACTTGTCTTTTCGGGTAATGTATCTCGCATTTAAATGTGTTTCAAACATAGGCTCTTGTACAGTGTTTGAATTCGGAGCGCCCTTCTCTGCTATAAACTGTCCCCTCTCCCAGTGACAGGGCTGTTCAGACTGTGCAGCTTGAACTGGAGAGAGCGACGGGTGGCTGTGCCCAGTGAACTGCTTCTATATAGAATCATAGAACTGTCTAAGTTGGAAGGGACCTTTAAGATCATCGAGTCCAACCATGAACCCAACACTGCCCAGTCCACCACTACCCCATGTCCCTCAGCACCGCGTCTACCTGTCCTTCAAATCCCTCCAAGGATGGCGACTCCACCACTGCCCGGGGCAGCCTCTTCCAAGGCTTGATGACCCTTTTGGTGAAGAAATTTTCCCTAATATCCATCCTAAACCGCCCCTGGTGCGACTTGAGACCATTTCCTTTTGTCCTGTCACTTGTTACTTAGAAGAAATTTCTTTACATAGAAAACAACATGAGTTTTGTAAACTACCAGTTTGTGTGTCAAGCAAGAACCTAAAAAAGCGTATATACAGTAAGTCTTCAACTCACAGGTGCATGGGTTTAATGAAAAAACCCGTTACCTAAAGCCAGTAAAGTTAAACCAAACCCGTGGATGTGCTTATTTTCCCTGACTGATGTATTTGGTTAGGAATATCCACATGGAGTTTCATGCAGCTCCAACTTAACCTGCTTTAACTGAAGGTGACCTGGCAGTGGTGCATCACTCAGAGGAGAGGCACCAGCCACCTGGCTCTCAATGGTGGCAGAAAGAGCATGTACAGGCTGAGGCAGCCCTGCTCCACCACGTTTTTTCCTTGCTTTCTGCCGAATTTACTCCATCCTTGGAGCTGTGCCCAAGCAGAAATCGTAATATACAGCCTATAGCTCTTCTTTATTCCTCTTTTCTCTCCTAGCAGCCACCCATATCACAGCAGGCCTCCCTGCAGCAGGTGCTTGCCAGCCAGCCCGTGTGCCCCATCCAGCCTGCAGCCCACCTCCTGCCCCCCTACCAGCCCCAGACCTCACAGGTGGCCGCCAGCAGCACCCCGCTGAAACCCCTCCAGATCTCCACCGTGCCACAGATGCCGCCCGTCGCCCCTTCCCAGGTAACACCCTTGAAAAAAAGACACGTGTGTGAATACATCCATTTGAGTAAAGCTTTCTGGCTAATATTTAACATGATTTGTGGGTTTTTGTGTGGCTATTTTGAATGCATGCCAATTTAATTAGTCCATAAGAATATAGATTTTTTCCTAATTCCGGTGTTTTTCTTTGCTATTTGTTTTTGTTTGGTGAAGCAAAAATCTCCTTTGTGAGTAATCCTGCGTCATGCCTAGAGAATCCAGTTAATGGCACTTACAAAATTGCAATAACTGCAATTTTTTTTTTTATTTTATTTTTTTGCACCTTCCCCTCTGGCATACTCTCTTCCCCATTCCAGGCTTCAGAGCATGAGAAGTTGCCCTTTTTTTTTTTTTTTTTTTTTTTTTTTTTCTTGTTTCTGAGCTCCTGATTTCACTACTTTCCCTGCCACCCACCTGCCCCCTCCCCAGCTCTCAGCCCCATTTCTGTTTCCCTCCTGAGCCTGGGAGGGTTTGTTGGTGCCGTGAGTGTGTTTGCTAGTGACAGCCACCCTCAGGTGACACAGCTTGTGCCAAGGGGAAGAAGCTGCTCCCGTGACGCCAGTCTGGGAGCTACATCACTGGGAGGTTTTGATTGTAAAAACCCTTTTGTGGGATCTTCCCTGCTGCCTGGGTTGCAGCCAGCCTGCGTAAAGACAAGGGTTTTAAATTGTCTTACTGAATTTTGCATGAGAGAATTTTGCATTTTGTCTGGTCCGATTCCTTTTCATTTCCGTTAAAATGAAAGCAGCTTTTAATTTAGTATGTTGCTTGAAGGCTTCAAGCTAGTGTTAGAAATAGCTTTAAGCTCCTAAGGTATAAAAACATTCCCCCCAAATCATATTTTTTTTTTCTCTTTTGCTAATGATTTACGCATAAATCGTTTTTATTACTGTTTATAAACCTCAGGAAATGAATGGAAGTGATTAACAAACAGACATAATTATCATCGTGGCACAGATGATTTTTACGTACTTGTATGGCAAATGAAACTACTTTGTACCGTCAGTGAAAGCACTTGCAATTTATGTGATATTATATTTTTTTCAGATTCCTCAGTTTCCTGTCATTCCTGCAATTACTCCTCTGGCAGGACTTGACAGCCTTCCTCCAAACCTCTCTGATATACCTGCCGCAAACGTGCCCCCCATCCCCGCTCCTTCTCAGTACTTTGCTCCGGCCGTGATTTTGCCCAGCCTCCCCATGAACCCCGCTCTGCCCATGGCCCCCAACTCCCCTGCCCTCCCCATGCAGGCGGTCAACCTTCCTCACACCACCGTGGCTTCTCTGGTCTTGCCCTGCCAAACGATAGTGCCAAATATGCCGGCTGCCACCATCCCCTTGCTTGCCGTGGCTCCGCCGGGGGTGCCAGCCCTGCCGCCGCACCCCGGGGTGCCCCCGCTCCCCCCGCAGCCGATGTACCCCACCACCTTCCAGCAGCTCCTCCAGAGCGAAGCGCCCTCTCCCCACCACGCGCAGGGCACGCCGGCAGCATCCCAGCCGCAGCCGCCTCCACCTCCTCAGTCGCTTCAGCCGAGCGTTGTCCATCCTGCAGACCAGGCTCTGTCTGCGCCCGGGGCTGGCCACCAGGTAATCCACTGGCGGGGGGGCCATGGCAAGCCGGGGCCGCAGGGCGCTCCCGGGGCTTGCTCCGCTGCCAGCAGGCAGTGGGGAGGTGGTTTGTTTTCCCTTGCTCTTAAGATGCTTTGGTAACTTCTCCACCTTGGTCCTGGAGGTGGTGGCTAGAGCTGTGCAGTCCGGCACAGCAGGGGAGGTCTTAACCCAGGGAGAGGTGAATATCGAGGATGTAGGGACCGATCTAAGGAGCAGACAAGAGCACTTTTTGTGCTCCCTCTTCCTTCTCCCATCTCAAACGTGAGAGAAGCACGAGCTGTCGTTCTCCTGTGGTGGGGGAACAGCAGCCGGAAGCCTGGCAGGTGCCTTCACCCCAGCCTGTTGGGTGCTCCTGGTGAAATACGGGTGAGCTGGCAGGAGCGATGGACTGTTTTGGTGTAGAATTGATTTAAAACAGCAAAGGGAAATGGCTGTTTGATAACGACTCCAGAAAACCGCATGGAAGAGGTCTCTCAGACGAGAACGAATTCTAGCCGCAGACCCTTTCCTCGTATCAAAGATACGAGGAAAAATGGAGCTTCTAATATTAACACTGTTTACAAGAGAAGTGGTTCAGGACTTGCTGACAGAGTCTGTAAATACTTCTATTGCCACATCTGTGATATGACAACACGAAATGCAGTCTGGCCCGAGCAGGAGAGAGCACTAAATCTGTTAATAAGAGTGGTCTTGAAAATCTGTGTTCTGCTACATCACTTTCCCATAACGCGCTGATTAAAATTCATAACATCCCATTGCAACCTGCCATATCATGGCATCTCCAAAGTAGTACATCATTTTGAAATTTCTCCTGCCAGCCGTATATTTGGTACAGAAATACCATTTGTGAAAACGTAGGCAACACGGAGCCTGAGACAATTACCACTGAGCTCATTAGCCAGAGTGTTTCTGGTGGCTTTAGGGGGACTTGAATCCGGCCCGTGACACGCAGCAAACACCAAAACCGGGGCACTGATATTCCCCACCTGTCCTGACGCAGTCATTAGCTGTCAAATGTGTGGAAGACTAGCATAGAAGTGTTTTTAGGATAAAAAGTAGCTATTACAAATGAAATGGGCAAGTGCAGAGGGATATTAAAAAATACATTGTTTTGTGTTTTCAAGTACTTTCGATGGAGATTATTTCTGTTAATAAAGGCTTTCCAAAGCAGTGCTGTTTTGGGAGTTGATGTTTAGCACCTCTGAGTTTAGTTTTGCCCAGGTAAATTATACGTTAGAATATTTTGTGAGTTACTCTAGTTCTATAAGATTTTTAAAAAAGTTAATTTCACCGTTCTTTTGCAATGTGCACCCCAGTTGCTATTCTAAGAGCCTCACTTAGGCAGTCATGTAACTTGTGTTGCGAAGCACATTGCATCTTTACTTTTATCCACGTTAAAACTTGAAATAATAATTTCAGCTCATATTTAGAATCTGCAGAGAGTGTGCAGAAATGAAGTTGTGTGGCCTAGTTCTCATCTGAGTCTTGATATTTTTCTTAATATATTCTCTAAATATTCTAAATCTCTAGGTCATGATACTTTAAAAAAGTAAAAATTAGGCAGAGGTCTACCAAGTACTAAAAAGCCTTTTTTCTTCCACTTTTTCCTTTTTATCCTTTTTCCTCACCCTGCAAATGCAGTCCCCTTGGAAAAATACATGATGTACCTAAAAGGAGAATGTTCTGTTCTTAAATGTACAACTCAAAAGAGCTGTTATGCAGAATAACAGCGTGGTCTCTAAGGTAGCTGGCACAGAATCACATCGGTCCAGTTCCCACCAGGCGCTTACGCACACAAGTTATTTTAATGCACTGAAGAAATCCACTGAGATAAATGAGACTTGCTCCGTGTGCGTAGCACCAGGGAGCCTTCGCAGAATTGGGGCCTTGGTGCTTGGCATGTCAAGAGTTAACTTGTGTTTTGAATGTTTAAACTGAATGGAGAACCATGTGTTCTGTGAACCACAGGTATATAGTCAGTGAAAAAGAGTTAATTGTGTGGTCTATATCAGCTACTGGTTCTACATCACTGAATTTCACTGAATGTTTAGAGTTGGAAGGGACCATAGAGTTCATCTAGTCCAACTCCCCTGCTAAAGCAGGACCACCCAGAGCTTGTCAGAGCATGTTACTCAGGACTCCATCCAGGCGGGTCTATAGCAGATTTTTTAAAAAAATCCTCATTTAGATTATGAGTGTATTTTATTTTGCGTGGACATTGTGGTGGGCTCATTGAAGGCAGAGCAAACTATTCAGCACAAAGAATTCATAACCAGAGATTTTAATTTTTTAGTGAAATATGGCTTTGTTGTTACGAGTTAAATAGCACCTGAGCAATACAGACGTTGTCGTAATTATATGGGAGGAATCCTTAGGTTTTTATTTGGTCGTTTCAAAGTTTGAACTCTTCAGGAGTCCCCCTTCCCAGGAGACACCACACAAATGTGGAGTCACAGTCCTTTCTCCGGGGACTCTGGTGGCTCTAGACCTTGCCACGTGCGTCGCCCACGCTCCGGGCAGCGACCTGTTTTAATAGCTGTGTGTTGTGTTGCAGCAGGTGCCTGGCCACCCTCAGTACCCTCTGGAAGCTGGAGCCCAGGTGCCCGTGCTGCCTGTGCAACAACCTCCGATAGTCCTGTCGCCGCCTCTGCAGCTGCAGCCGGAGCTGTTGCCTGCCCGCGGCGCCCCTGAAGGCGTTGCCCAGGTCCATGGCAGCCTTGCCACGGCTAGTCCTCCTGTCCCCATAGACCACTGTCTGCCTCTTCAGCCTTCTGCTCTGCTGCAGCTCCAGCCCGATCTTTCCCAGCCGCTGGGTCAGCAGCTCCCAGCCCCCTCCTCAGCTCTCCAGGCAGTCGTGGAGACATCTCAAGAGGTAGAGCCGTTTCCTCTGAAGTAACTCACCAGCTTCACCCTTAACCTTCTTACTTACTCCTTTGTGAAATAATGGGCTTATTTCACAAGGGAGATTATCCCCCCTCACCGTACAGAGCTGCTTGTCCTAGATACTTGCAACTCTGGGTCAGCAAATAATTGGCTATTTCAAATGAAGCTGGGAACTGCACGTTGTGCCTTGTGAAATGTCTCCTTGAAGCAATGAGGCAGCAGGACGATGTTTCTCTTTGTTCATAGCTGAGCACGAACACAGAGCTAGGGATTACTTTAAGTGCCGTGGGTCAGCAAGAAGCTGTTCTGTAGAGTTCCATCCATGTTTTGTCCAGTCTTGTTTTAACTGTCTCAAGCACTTGTGCAACCAACCATCATTTGCCTTAAAAAACTGCTCCATAATCAGATTCTTCACTGTGTTAAACCTCTTCATGCTCCTCAGCTTGAGTCTTCTTCCCATTTCATTTAGCATTGTATCCTCCTGCGTTGCCTAAATTCTTATCTAGTTCTGGGATTTTTGTTTCCTCAGATATTCGTAGCTGTTCCCAATTCTCAGTGGTCATATAAGCAAGATGCATTTTATTGGTTTTCTTTATAGAACTGTCAGCTCCTCCTGTCTGCTATTTTGACTTTTCTTTCCACTCCCAGAATTGTTCAGCCATCAGTCTTGACAGAATGTCACAGAACGTTTCCTTCTCTTCAAGTCTTTAATAGATATCCATAAACAAAGCAAAACAAAGGTTTTGGCATTTATACCAGATTTCAGTAGAGAAGTCTAATTTGGTCTCCACTTATGAATGGAAATGTCCCTCAGCCGTTCTGCTTTCAGAATTGTTCCTCTTGAGGCTCTCTGTTCTCAGCTACCTTTCCTCCCAAAGTAACAGTGTCCATCTTTTCAAACTAAATCTCTTTTGGCTTTCCCCACGTTTCCATGCACTTGCCACGTGCCTCAGCTCCCAGCGCAGCCTGGGACTCTCATTAGAGGGACAGCTGAACTCCTGCTCCAGAAGGTGTTCAGTGAGGATGCTGCCAACACTAAACTACATTCTAGTTCCCCATTTTGCCTGTCCTTCTAGTGGCAGTCTAATTCTGGTTAAATAAATATTCCTGGATGTTTCCTGGTGAATTGCTGTATCCTATAGGTTAGATACAGGAGAAATGGTAGAACCCGTCACTTGCAGGGTGCTCCAGTAAAGCCTGGCTGCATTGGGCATATCCTTTACTCGAGGCATTTCTTCTCCAACTGCCTTTTTTTCTGTATGTGCAGCTCATGCCAGAACCACAGCCTTCAGTGCAGGGTCTATCCCATTAGAGATTCTGGGGACAGGAATGAACCTCATTGTTATTGTGCAGAGATGTGGAGGATACAAGTTGTCCTCTGTCACTTGATAAATCTGTGCCCACTGAGGTACGTGTCTGTCTCGTCACTTTATCACAGCCCTAGGAGCGTTTAGCCGCTGTTCTGTTAACTGTGTTCCGTGTTTCATCTGGAATTTAACTCCCTCCTTTCTTTCAATTTAAGAAATCAATCCAATATCAAGGGTTGGTCCAACTGATCGATGTGCTCCCCATGCTGATTTTATGACATATATTGCTAAGGTTTTCTGGGGTGTAAGAGGAGTTTCATGTCTCTGTATATTCAAAACACTGCTTTTTGTTGCTACTCTGCCACAACGTTTTTATCTCTTATTTTTTGTTTCAATGTGTGGCAGACTCACTTCCAAACCAATCAGGCAAACGAGATTTTGTAAGGCACTTGATCCAGTGCGTTACTGAAACGTGGATACATTATGTCTGTGTTCTCACTGTTCATTAATTTTGCAGTTTTATGGAAACTGCAGTCGAGCTTGGCATGGCATACGTGTGGCAGTGTCAGCAGCGAGTGGGGTTGACTGGTTAACCGATAAGCTCCTAACTCCAGTCCACTGGCTGCTTTGGTGTAAGAAGATGTTGTGATGGTGGTCAAAGGGCTTGTCTCCAGCTGTGTGTCTATAGAAGGATTTTATAGACATGTGCTTGTAAATATATATAAATATATATGAAATTATATATATTTATGCATATATTTGGGGTGTGTGTATACATGCACAGTTATATACATGCACAGGTGTGTGTGTCTGTGTACATACATGGTAAGTTCGTTACTGCAGGGCCAGGGGCATCGTCATCACAAATTCTGTGAAATGGGTGTACCCCATGCGAAAGTCACGCTGTCGATGTCTGTCCTAGCATTGCAACTGGTGAAGAGAGAAGCTTTTGGGGAAAATCTCTTTTGTGTAGCGAGCAAGGGGTCATGGTGTGAGGGTGGTGTTTTTAAATTATGAATTTTCATCTCCTATTTATAAGTTGCTCTGAAATTTTCCTAATAAGCCAAATAGAGTGAAAATACTTAACGTATTTCAGGAAACTGTACAAAGCAATGAAGCAAATTAGCTTGTATGTTATATCCATTCAAAAAATAAAATTAGGTATGTACTGACGCAGACTTGTCCTGCAGTCAGGTTCTCCCATTGTGGTGAGAACTGTTTCTTTCACCATCTCCTCTGCTTCAGAGACACCAGAGGGGAACCAGCAGATCCGTGGCTCTGTCTTAGCCATTGTGCACAGATACTGATGCTTCGGACAGAAGTAATTTTGGGAGGGTGAAATGGGACATTTATTTTTTTCCGAGTTCCAAGAATTGGTTAAACAGTTTTAGGATTTACTGGTGTCTCAAGAGCAAAACCTTTCTTAAAGGTGTTTTTCATCTGTCATTTCAATGCCTTTACTTAAATGACTTTTTCTTACATTTTAGGAGCAGGCAATACAGGAAAAACTTCAATCTCTGTCACAGAGCTGTGAAAGGTATCATTATAATCTCTTTGGCATAAGAAATGTTTTGTTTCTGGAGGCTGTTTTTCCTCTCTCTTTACAAGGCTGGGCCAAGTGCCTGGCTCTTGCTTGGGGAGAGAGAAGAACAGCGGGAACCGACCAGGAGAAGACGGAAAGGTGCACATCTAGGGAGAAAGCTGAGATGCTCTGTGTCCCGTGTGCCTGTCTTGGCTCCAACTCTTAATTCTTTAGTTTGGGTGGTGCTTTGTTGTATGTACAACAGTTTTCATTTCAGCATGTAACTTCTCTTCTTGTTAAGATAAGTGGTACAGACCTTAGTTTTGATGCTGTTGAATCTGTGTAAAAACATGCTGTGCTGGTATAATTGGGTAAATAGTGTATTCCGTTTTTGGGAATGAACCGGGTGTGCCTGTATCACCTTCTGTAATGGTCATTCCTCAGGTATGTTACGGGAATGGTGTACTGGTGGGAGCTGTGTATTGAACCACCCAAAGCTATGGTCACAAGTGCTGGAACACACAGCCCAAGCCCTTTTTGTGGGTTTGCAGGACACGAGGCTGCAATCAAGCCCAATAATGCTAATGATGGAAGTAACGATGGAAGTTCCCCGAGCCAGCTCAGCCCTCCTCAGAACCAAAAGCAAATTTCAGTTTCTGCCAGCCCTCAGCTGCCTCTTTCTGTACTGGGAAGCAGGAAGGGAAGCAGTGAGGAAGAAGCGAGGAGAGGAGGGTTCTCTGCTGGGCTTTGGGCAGGACTCCCCTCCGCAGGCATCTGCTGCTCCCCGGCCACAGCTCCTGCTTCTGCACCAGCAATAAGCCAGGTTTTTGAGTGTTTGGTCTGGATAAGGTAGATCCCAACAGCGTGTGTTCGTAAGCCTTGCCTATTGCAGGACCCAGCACCAGCTTCATCCTCAATGATTATAAGGCTTTGGAGTTAGGATTTTAGTGACTCTTTTCTGTTTTCCTGAATAAGATTAGTTAAGTTTATGAACTTTGAAGACACTTTTCTCTTACTATTTTCATGCTACCCCACCAAAAACATCAGCCTGATGCAACTCAGTGCAACCCCACAACCTTGAAGTGAAACCTTTTTTCCCAAGAATTTGCTGCTTTTAAATAACTACATGGAAAGTGAGATCTAATTTTTTGTGACCATAGGTTATTTCTGTCCATAAATAAAGTAGACAAAATTAAGGCATTTTATCTAGTCTGTTGTAGAAAGGCATGTCAAATTTTCAGTCATCTTTTGAATTCTAATTTGCCTGTTCCAGCATTGTGTTTGAAAATCTGGCTGTGGTGACTGCAGCAGCAGGGGAGCCTGTCTCAGCCCATGTCTGAGAGTCGCAGGGGGACATCTCCCGATTCCAGGTGCATCGGTGACCGGGCACCGGAGCTGAGCTCTGCTTTGGTAGAGTGGAGGATAATGGCACGTGAAGCAGAAGGCTGACAGTTGCAGCAAAGATATAATCTAGAATATATCCGAGGCGCAAAAAGCCTTCACTTTCCTAACAGGGGAGTTACACATAGAAAGCAGCTGCAAAGGGAGTAGGAATAAGCTGTTCTGCACAACTAGTGCAGAACAAAAAGTAAAAGCCTTAAATTTAAGAAAGGGATCCAGAGGTTGGACTTGAATTGTTTTGTGCCTGTACGGCTAAATGAACACAGGAATAAATTGTCCAGGAAGGTTATGAAATCTCATGGGAGCTTTGCAAGATTAGTTTACACAAACCTCTGTGAGGACTGGTTTAGGCAGAGCTGATCATACCTTGGGGTAATAAATAAGCCAGATGGCCTTACAAGGTTCCTTCCTGACATGGTTTTTATGAACCCCTGGAAATTTCCTGCAAATAGCTTGCATGTCGACGTTTTCTGTACATGTCATATTACAACAAGGTTGTTAGCAGCTACTGTTTTGGCTGCTAAAAATAATATGCTGTTGCCAGCTGGTCATCTGGGATATTGTGGCATAAAACTTTCTGATCCTCGAGAACTGCCGAGAGAGGAGAGGCAGTGTCTTACGGGATGCTGTACCGACTTCTCCCTCTTTTCCTTCCTCTCCAACAAGCACAAACTGACCCCATTTAGACCTTCCTGCTGTGAGTGCAGACAGGCAGGAGTTGTGAAAACTGGACCTTAGAAAAATAGGAACTTGTGCAATTCAGAGGGGGGTGGTAAGGTTGAAGGGATACATTAAGAGTGCTGGGACTTTCCCCATGGTATTGGCAGAAATGTTCATATAGTCTCAGTAGGTGTGGTAGCTGGAGTGTGAGCTGACCTGGAGCAGTTCCCTTCCCTTACCGAGCATCTTTCAGTAGCTGGCTTAGTTTGGGCCAAAAGAGTGCAGATGTGCATTTATTTATTTAATTATTGCAGTCCCTGTTGTTGTGTATCTTACCTATGTATAGCTTCAGTGTGTCTGACAATGGTTTTTTTGGGGGGGGTTTCTTCCTTTCTCTTACAAAGCTACATGAGTCCAGATGTTGCTTCGGGTAAGGAGATGAGTGACAGCTTTGAAGGAGCAATAGGAAGTGGAAAACAAGAAGGAAAGTCTTCGAAGAAACATAAGAAGTCTACCCGTGCTCGTTCACGCCAGGAGAAGTCCAGCAGACCCAAACTGACCATATTAAATGCAAGTACAACCTCTTTGGGGGTAACTGTAGGATTCCTTTGGCTTTGCCAGAAGTAACTGTTGTTAACGTTTGCCTGCAGGTTTGTAACACGGGGGATAAGATGGTGGAGTGCCAGCTGGAAACACACAATCACAAAATGGTGACTTTTAAGTTTGATTTGGATGGGGATGCGCCAGAGGAAATTGCTACTTACATGGTAAGACTCGGTGAGGTGGCTGCCTGCAGGCTCTGAAAGCACCAAGTTGCTTCAGCCAACATATTCTCACCTGTGCTTGTTTACCGTGCTTACTGATAGCTGTGGAATTGGGCATTAATCAAAACATCACTGTTTTCCTCTTTATTTTGATGTGGTCTCATAGGTAGAGAATGAATTCATATTGCAGAGTGAAAAAGAGACATTTATTGAACAAATGAAAGATATTATTGATAAAGCAGAAGATATGCTCAGTGAAGATACGGAAGGAGAACGAAGTTCTGATCAGGGAACGAGTCCTCAGCAAGATACTGATAGACTGGAAATGAATGAGGTAAGAAATTTTAAATAAAGATTTCTAGTTTGATTCCTTTTTCTTAACAACCGGTCGCTGTATGCTAGTTTAACATCACATGGTAAAAAAAATAAAATGTTTTCTAGATAGAAAAACAATGCTTTTACCCCATTAAGGCTTACAACATGAGTGCTCCTTCGAATGATGCTCCTCTTGCGTCGATACGAGACAGCTAGTTCTTCAATTGCTTTGGTTTTGTTTTTTTAACAGGAGAAGCGGCAGTCTCAGATGAAGACACCCGTGTATCAACAAAATGGTAAATGTGCCTTTGAATACAAAATCGATCTCAAGCTTTAAGGCAGTGATGAGTTTCTGTGGAAGTTTGGTAGATTCAGGAGGAAATCTGCCAGTCACTGGTGCTTGGAGATAAATCTAGAAGTATGAGTGCAACGGTGGTCCCTGCTGTTGGCAGCCTGGAAGATGGCAGGGATAACACGATGAGCCTAACATCTGGGGACACTTAGGAAAGCCCTGAATTCCACATGCTGGTCATCAGTGGTGGACAAGTCAGGAAGCTACAGATGAACATACCCTTTTCACAACAGTAACTACATTTGCAAGAGAAAGATAAAAGATTATGTTTGCATTGGTAATTTAATTGAAATTTCTAACCCAGACGTTTCCAGCTACTTTGGTATTGCAGAGGGGATCTTGGCCTTCTGAACACAGTCGTTTTGTACGGTTTTTTACAGACAAACAGAATGGGGAAGGAACTGGCCCTTGATTCCCTCTGTAATGCCTGCTGCTGGGGGAAAATGAAACCTCTGCTGAAGGAAGCATCACTTCCAAAATTCTTGTTGCTGCATGTGTATTTGCTCCATGCTGAAAGGGGAAGAAGGATAATTTAGAACTTCTTTGACAAGTGCAGAAACTGGGAATCCTCCAAACTAGGCTTTCTGCTCAAAACATCTGGTTTATCTTTTGCCTGTAAATGTCATGGAATTTTCTCAGTACACCTTTTTTAACATAACATTTGTCTTCTAATGAAAGTTACAAAGTGTGTATGGTTCTGGTTTGCCATTTACATATGCCATGCTTTGAGATGAGATGTGGAAGGAAATACTAGCTAGAAAACTTCCAACGTGGAAAAGTTAAGCTGCATAAACTTTACAAAATTAACAAATTTTTCATTGTGAGAAGACTGTTCACAGTACTTAATAACATTTTCATGTATGTAACTATTACCCTTCTAAAAGTATGAATGCTTGAAAATAAATTTTCAAATAGCTTAATTTTTTTGGCAGAATCAGGAGGCATCGCTGCCTCCCTTCCAGAAGGGATGAGAATCAAGTTAGGAACCATTGATTTAATCTTGGCTACTATTGTAGAAGTTCTGATATTCTTTCTAAATATGGAAATTGAGACGAGGTTTTGACACATGATCTGGAATCAGTGGAAACTATTGTGTTTACTTTCTTCTTTTCTTTTCATGTCTAGTTTTGCATACTGGAAAAAGGTGGTTTATTATATGTCCTGTTGTGGAAAACCCTACTACTGATGCACCAGAATTTTCTCCACCGGTACCTCAGAGTACACAGCAGTCTGAAGGGCCAGGTATTTACAAATGTTATAGAAAATGTTTTCTTCTCTGAAGCTGCTGTATCATCTCTCTTCTGTTCTCACCTGTTTTAATTGGGACTGTTTCACTTCATTTAGTCTGAGGAAGAAAATGATGAATTTTAAGTGTGTTCCTAGTATTGAACCAAATTAGGAAAGTTTATTTGAGTTTCAGGGAAGTCTCAGTATTTTAACTCTGCCTTCAGCTATAAGGTAACTGAAGTTGTAGTGACTGCTGTCACAGAATCCCAGAATGTCAGGGGTTGGGAGGGACCTCTGGAGATCATCTCGTCCAACCCCGTGCCAAAACAGGGTCACCCAGAGCAGGTTGAACAGGAGCGCGTCCAGGCAGGGTTTGACTGTCTCCAGAGAAGGAGATTCCACACCCTCTCTGGGCAGCCTCTTCCAGGGCTCTACCACCCTCACAGGAAAGACGATTTTCCCACATGTTCAGATGGAATTTCCCATGTTCCAGTTTGTGCCCTTTGGCACCACTGAGAAGAGTCTGGACCCATTGTCTTGCCCTTTAGCTATTGATCAGTGTTGATGAGACGCCTTCTCAGTCTGCTCTTCTCCAGGCTGAACAGCCCCAGGTCCTTCAGCCTTTCCTCAGCAGAGAGATGCTCCAGGCCCCTCAATGTCTTTCTAGCCCTCTGCTGTACCCTCTCCAGCAGTTCCTTGTTCTTCTGATACTGGGGAGCCCAGAACTGGACATAGTACTCCACAGAACTGCTGTTCTAATAAGCAGTGGTTTTTCAGCGATTTTTTTTTTTTTATAATCTGCAATTTTAGGTTGTAATTTGACTTGTATAACAGTGATTTTCCAACTGGAAGCACTAGTGGGTTACAGCTAGATGTGGCTATCACTGAAGCTAGCCAGGAGGTCTTTCAGTGACTTTCTGTCATTCTGTACAGTTCATTAAAGATTGACCTGATGTTTGTGCTCTTTCTAGACCCAGAGCAGTCAGACGATCAGCAAGTGAGCTCTGCGGTGACGGATCCCCCCGGTCTCTTAGCTGGCCAGCAGCCCCCGCTCCAAGCAGGGTTGTGTGACAGCCCCATCGGAGCCTCTCCCTCTTTGGCTCAAGTTCCTGCCGCCGCACCTGCCGCTGGCTTACCCAGCCAGGCCGAGTTTCCAGTGCCGGCACTCCCGCCATCGGCTCCAAGTACCCTGGAGCCAGCGGCCGCTAACAGGGCTCAGTATCCCCCCCGGAAGGTGACGATGCCCGCCCCGCCGGCCACTCCTGCCCCCCGTGCCGCCATGCTGGAGGAGCCACCCGAGGCTTCCCCCGCTCCTCCGCACCACCAGCCGCCGGCCGAGGAGGGCACGTGTGTCCCTGACGTGGAAATAGCGTGTTGCAGTGTGGGGCCACACCAGTCCGTCCCAGCGGAGCTCTGCCCTCTCCCCGTGCTCCCGGACGCCGTTGTTTTGGAGCGGCAGCCTGTGGCCCAGGTCCCCCACCTGCCCGAGGCCGGCCCGCCTGGCCTGCTGCAGCACTCCTTCCTGAGCCAGGCCTTCCCCGCCGCCGACCCGCTGGCTCTGGCGGGCTCTCAGCTTCCGGTGTTCCAGTTTCTGCCTGTTGCCTCTTGTCCTGTTGCTGGGCACCGCTGAGCAGAGCCTGACACCATCCTCTTGCCACCCAGCCTTTAGATATTATAAGCACTGATGAGATCCTCTCTCAGTCTTCTCTGGGGCCCTGCTGGACTGTCTCCAGCAGTTCCCTGTCCTTGAACTGGGGAGCCCAGAACTGGACATAGTACTCCACAGAACTGCTGTTCTAATAAGCAGTGGTTTTTCAGCGATTTTTTTTTTTTATAATCTGCAATTTTAGGTTGTAATTTGACTTGTATAACAGTGATTTTCCAACTGGAAGCACTAGTGGGTTACAGCTAGATGTGGCTATCACTGAAGCTAGCCAGGAGGTCTTTCAGTGACTTTCTGTCATTCTGTACAGTTCATTAAAGATTGACCTGATGTTTGTGCTCTTTCTAGACCCAGAGCAGTCAGACGATCAGCAAGTGAGCTCTGCGGTGACGGATCCCCCCGGTCTCTTAGCTGGCCAGCAGCCCCCGCTCCAAGCAGGGTTGTGTGACAGCCCCATCGGAGCCTCTCCCTCTTTGGCTCAAGTTCCTGCCGCCGCACCTGCCGCTGGCTTACCCAGCCAGGCCGAGTTTCCAGTGCCGGCACTCCCGCCATCGGCTCCAAGTACCCTGGAGCCAGCGGCCGCTAACAGGGCTCAGTATTCCCCACGGAAGGTGACGATGCCCGCCCCGCCGGCCACTCCTGCCCCCCGTGCCGCCATGCTGGAGGAGCCACCCGAGGCTTCCCCCGCTCCTCCGCACCACCAGCCGCCGGCCGAGGAGGGCACGTGTGTCCCTGACGTGGAAATAGCGTGTTGCAGTGTGGGGCCACACCAGTCCGTCCCAGCGGAGCTCTGCCCTCTCCCCGTGCTCCCGGACGCCGTTGTTTTGGAGCGGCAGCCTGTGGCCCAGGTCCCCCACCTGCCCGAGGCCGGCCCGCCTGGCCTGCTGCAGCACTCCTTCCTGAGCCAGGCCTTCCCCGCCGCCGACCCGCTGGCTCTGGCAGGCTCTCAGCTCCAGAGCCCCACGCAGGCGGGGGTCGCTGCCTCCCAGCCGCAGGCCCTGCTGTCCCAGGGGCAGCCATCGGCCTGCCCCGGCCTGGGCATGGGCCTGCTGCAGCCCGGCACCGCCGAGTCCGACGGAGAGGGGCCGCCCCGGGTGGACTTCGTCGACAACACGATCAAAAGCCTTGATGAGAAATTGCGCAATTTGCTGTACCAGGAGTACGTTCCGACTTCTTCTGCATCAGCAGGGACCCCGGACACCTCCGTCCCCTTAGAACAGGGCGACAGTGAATTGAACTTGCCGCCTTTTCCTGAAGACCAAGCTCCCGTGCTGGCGCTGGACGCGAGAGAGCCCGGCCACAGCGCTGCGGACACCGGCCAGGAGGTGAAAGCTGCTGCCGAGCCCCCCTCGGTGCTGCCCCTTCCCTCCGAGACGTGCCCCCCCCCAGCGCGGGTGAGTCCCGCCCTGCCCCCCGCACCCCCGAGCGGAGCGCAGAGCCTGCGGGAGGACACGCACAGATCTTCCCGCTTCTCTGAGCTTTTTTAAGTTTCTCCTCTTGGATGTATTACCTTTTGGCCGTTGACTGCTTTCCAGTGTGAAAGTTCGCTTAAATTTTCACTTGTTCTCTTAGATTTTCACTTTGTCAGATTCATTCTGACTTGCCTTACACAAATTAGTGACATTCCATTTTTTTTCCCTTGGGTTTAAAAATGGTATAATATCTTAACTCATTCTCCTCCTCCTTGTGTCTTGTTTCCAAAGCAGGCAGAAATGTGATTTTTTTTTTTTTTTGGTAGTTTAAGTGTAAAACACAAGGGTAAAAAACAAGTCATTCAAGTTCTGATGAATACGATCATACTTCAATAGGAATTTTTTTTTTTAATATATTTAAATTGATGGCAGTGATTATAATGCCTGCCTTCCAAGTCAGTATGAATAAAATAAGCACTTGGGGAGCCTTTGCTTTGTTCAAGTGCAGCAGCCAAAGGAAGTCACTCCATAGGTACAAGCCTGCTCTGCTTCCAGTAATGATGTCTTTTGTCTTCCCCTGAACTTGGCAGAGAAAGACTTCACTGGGAAGCATCTAGGGAAAGCTGGAGCAGGTGGCCTGGGTCATGATTTGCATCTCAGTTCTGCACCTGTGCTGCCTTCTTTCAGATCAAATCATGTTTACAAAATTCAACAGATTTGCAGCACTTTCTGCTAGAAGATCAGTGTCTATCTGACTTGAAAAGTAGCATTTCTGGAGTTAATTACATCACCCTGGCAAGGATGAGGCTGTCCCGTGTAGTGTCAGCTGGATGAACTCTATCAACTGCTTGAAAGATGTTACAGGAAAGACGGCTGCACATGAGTAACTCTTTAGAGCATATTGTTTAAAATGATAGATTACTTCCTGCAGCAGAGAAAATTCTATGAAAGGTGTTGTGTCTCACCAGTAATTTGAATTTGTCCTATAATAAATATAGATAATAAATATAAATAAATAAATATATAATAAATAAAATAAATGTAAATATAGTAAAAAACACCATAGAAATTACAGTATGTAAATGCTTCTCATCCTGTTTTTAGTAACTTAGGCTGCAGTTTCCTCTGTACCATTGCCACTGCTTTTTTAATTCCAAAGGAGGGGAAAAAAAATGGAGTTGAAAGAAAAGCAAGAAGAGCACCTCCACAGGCAGTATAAAATAGCTTAGTATTCCACAGTAGTGTGCGGGCAGAGAAGGAGGGAGGATGCATTGCCTTTCTGCTCTGTGCGCGAGACTGAAATTCTTTTTCTTTTTTCTTTCTATCGAACATTTGAAAAGTCGGAGGTCACCGCCATCGGGGCTCATTCCTCAGAAGCAAGAGGTGGGTCAGTGGGCAGAAAAGGTAATGCTCCTGTTGGTGATGAACGCAGTGATGCAGCTGTCCTTGTGCGTGGTCCTCTGCTCCGGTGTCCCCTGGCCACTCACCATTGGGGTTAACTGCAGGGCACTGCCCGGCACGGGCATTTCTGATCCTATTTGTAATATAACTAATATTAAATGTCTCATTTCTGCCAAGGTTCCTAGAAAGAAACTGCATCAGAGGCAGATTTATTTGAAACCATAAATATGTAATAGGTGGCTGTGGTGTAGGTATGGGGTGTTCGCATGGAAGGTTATGTTCCCAGTAATACATTTCCAGTGCCCTTAAAAAGTCCAAACAAAGTCCCTCGGATTTCCCAGGCTTCGTAAAGTGTGTTGACAAAAATAATATGATGGAGGGTAGCCTCTCAGAGGGGAATCCTGTAAGATTTTCAAGGAAGTCCCACGGAGAACTAGTGAAGAGTACTTCTCTTTAGGTACTTGTAGATACAGCAGCACTTTCCATAACTACATAGTAGGACCCACAGTAAGAAACGGGGTATTTATCACACTCCATTTACCTGTCTTGCAAGTCATGGGAAGTTTTAAGGGCCGAGGAACCCAAAACTGCTCCTACTGTAATGGGTGGGGTTGAAGAAGACTTATACTATATATTATTTTTTTTTGAGATTGTCTTGGCAAAGCTGGCTACCGGGTTTGTGCAACAGTGTAGACTATTCTTGTGCTGGTAGACATGGATCTTCCACTGCTCTTAGGTCAGTGGGAGAGGGGAAAGCTGTGGGCAGCCTGCATTCATCTATCTCACCACAGACAAAGAGGAGAGGGTGCAAGTGGAACGTAGCACTGTGTAATAAAATTAATGTATCTTAGATACCACCAAGGAGTGCTGTACTTCCCCATTTCAGAACTGTGAAGTGACAGATTTTTGCCTTATGTTCACTCTGTGCAGTGTGCCATAAGAAAGCAGCTTTCTGAAAAGCTTGCGTTTATTTGTTTAACTTCAAAACCAGTGTCCAGGTTGTCAAATAATCATGTCTTGATTACTGCCACTAGTGTCTTGCTTCTTGCATGCTTCTGTGGTCTGAGCGGCCATCTTTTGAGCTTATAATTTCCACTTTCAGCAATGTGCGTTGAACTTAATTTCAGGCACTTATAGTTGTTGGTGTCAGTGTCTGTGGAATGACTTGGTGCGAAATAGCAGTCTGCCTATGGCCAGCTGCAGCTTTTTGTGTGCAGGGGTAGCCGAGGCAGTTACTTTTTTGAGCCATCAAGAACACCCTAGTAATGCAGGCCCAATACACCATGCAGATTTCATTCTTTTTTCTCCTTCAAAATTTTCAACTGACTAATGAAATTCCACACTGCTGCTATTATTCCCTGAATCAATAGATTGAAGAGAGTGCCTACCTGCAGATCCTTTATATTGTCATTGATACTGCCTCCTGCATTATAGATCCTGTATTACAGAGATTGGATATTTAAATTATTCTTTAGTGCTACACTTTATCACACTTCAGTTTATTGCAATAAACACATTGGCTTTTATTGTACTAAAGCATTCCAGAAATGAATATTTATTTTTTTCCAACTTGTAAAACAGGTTCAGCTGCAAGCATCACTTCAGCTCCTGCTGCTGCAGCAAAAGGCCTCCTTCAGGTAACCACAAACCAGGGGCAGTTTTATACTGGACTGTTACAGCTACTTCCCAAATTAATCTCCATTATTTTCTCCAGGTTGCACCTACATCATCAGGCATAACTAAACAGATGGAAACTTCTAAAAGGAGTGAGAAGGCAAAGACTATGGCTTCGTCTGCACACACAGATAATATAACACAGATATCTACAGCAGATGGGGTGATAAATAACCTTCAAAGGGATGACTCTCTAGACTCTGGTTCCTATGGAAAACAGGCTGGAACTCATGATAGCGGTACACCAGCCAAAACTATTGGCAGGTTTTCAGTAATCAGCACGCAAGATGAATTAACTTTAACAGCGCCACACTGCTTAAGGTTCTCAGCACCCCCAGACGTCTATTTGGATGAGCTCCCTTCCAGCCCTGACCTGAAGACAGCGGTGCGACGGGTGCAGACGGCCTCTTCTGTCGACGTCCTCTGTGACCAGGGCTCGAGCGATTCCGCCGATGAGCCTTTCCATCGGCAGCCGGTGGCTGCTGCCCAGCTCTCCCCACCAAGCAGTAGCGCAGCCACTGACTTAATTAAAAAAGCAGCTGCTTTTCTGCAAAGATCTGGCAAAGTGAGCTCACCAGGCCTCGACTCACCTAATGGGCAAGGAACAAAGATTCCCACCATCAACATAACGTCTTTCCACTCGCAGTCGTCGTACATGAGCAGCGACAATGACTCGGAATTTGAAGATGCAGATATGAAGAAAGAATTGCAGAACCTGAGAGAAAAGTATGTCAGGTTTGCAGACAACGCTAGGGAAGCTTGCGTTAAGATACCAAGGCAGCTTAGGATGAGCCAGTGTGTGGTTTTCATAGCTGTAACGAGTTAACTGGTTCTGGGCAAATTAGGCGTTGCTAGGACCTTCCCCCAAATGTCATACTGCATCCTTTTATACATCACTTTATTTGTCAGTTCCATTTAGAAGAATAATTCAATAATAACCTTTTTAACCCCAATGCATTTCTACTGCGATGACTAGTTCCCTCGTGGAAAAGCTTATGTTGATATGGTAGCAAACAAGAGCTCTTGTGGTGTATGTGGTAGGATTTCCCATGTGGATGCACTGAAGGCAGCATAAAAAGTAATCTGGATGCCTGCGTAGACAGCTGCTGCAGTGTTCTTTTGGTGCCCTTCTCTGCAGGGGTGATTGAGACTGTCAGCTCTGCAGCCCCACCGCTGTTCCCAGACTCACTCTGTGGTAGATAACCAGGTATCCGTTAGGCAGGTGAGACCCTGGCTCTGCCTCCCATCGGGTCGCTCACAAAGTCATGGGTCCAGTCTTGGCTGGGTGGGCCTGGCAGGAGTCCATCGTGCTGCCAATCCTGAGAGCTAGCTTCGTTAAATTTGAATATTTTCTTTCTTTCCTGGCAGGTGATGGGTAAAAAATAGTATTAGATGCTAGTTTAACCAAATGTTAAATTTTATCTCAAGGTATAATGGTTTTACTGAATACAGATGATGCATCTTTTTATATCAGTAATACTTTAAACCGACTTTACGGCATCATGAAATCTGCATTATAAATAAGGTAATGATTCATGTGCTAATGGTGTTCTCATGGGAAGCAGTTTTGCTTTTCTTCATGTTGAACTCCTTCAAACTAATGTACGTGCCTTGGGACTTAACTCTTTGGAAAATAAATTTTGAAGAGAGAAATTCTGAAATAGATTGGAGTTCCTGTCAGATTTCATGTCAAAATCAGTTGTTTTTACAGAGGATGTTGAATTCTGTTGAATATTATAAGTGAATATTTGAGAAGTCAGTCACCACATTTGCCGGGTAGATAGTTATAACTTCACATGCTTCTGGATGAACAGTTGATTATTTTATAACCAAAGACTGTTTTGTTTCTTTTTTTATAACTAATTATACCATCAAGATGATGTGCTTTATCAGATACATTGCTAGCAGAGTTCTTTATTTTTTATGTTTAGGCATATGAAAGAAATTGCTGAACTTCAGACTCAGCAGAAGAATGAGATAGAGGCACTGTATATTCGGTTAGGGAAGCCCCTTCCTCCCAACCTGGGGTTCCTTCACTCAGCCCCACCAAGTGGCCGTCGCCGAAGAACCAGCAAAAATAAATTGAAAGGTGGAAAACTATTAAACCCTTTGGTCCAGCAGCTCAGGAGTGGAACGTCAGGCGCAAGTAGGTACTCTCGGTTGCATTCCGTACGCCTGTGGTTTGTGTCATTTGTGGTTCTGATGTGTAATTGCATGGACTGCAGGAGAGGCACTCAATTTTTATTGTTTTCAATACTGTAGCTCAAGTTTGCATACTGTGAACTGGTTTTGAAGTGGGGTTTCCTTTGGGACAGGCTTATTGCAGCTGCCCAGTGCTGAACCATACGTCCCTTCTCTGCGTTGGTTACAATGCTTGGCAGAGAAACGATATTCCACTTCCATTTGGAACACAGCCTGGTTACATTTTCTCATCCTTCCTCCAAATGCAATTTATTGACGTTTGTATTCACTTCTTTGGTGCTGTTATCCTCTATTGATTATGTGCTGTATCTTTTTGCTGTTGTTTATTTTTTCCTACAAGGTACCATATAAATAAGATTGGTTTGCATTTGCTCCCCCAAAGGATGGGAGGTAAAAACAGTTATAAAACTGTGATGGATGCTTTGACCATCTGAAGTAGTTTGAGATTTTTCATACAGTCTTTAGTCATTATCTCTTTGGAAAGAATAAAGATATAATTCAACTGGGAAATGTTGATATACCCCAGTACCTATTTCTTCAGCAAAATACAGAAAAGAATATTAGTAATTTTTCTTCAACTTATAGTTCATGCTGTTGTTTAGAGGAATAGCAGCACTTCCAGCATTAACCCTGTATTTCGAATCTAGTAGATCCTGTTTTCAAGGTCACTGCGTCATAGGTCCACTTCAAATTTCTTTGCATCAATCTTAATTATAGATACAGTGTTTGAGAGGATTTTGCTTTTAATTAAGGATTTCAACCGAGATAGGAAAAGATATTTAGAGGCAAGATGTTCTGTAATCCATCTTGCATCTCGGTATTCTTGCCTTCGGGACCTTAAGCAATGCTCAGTGCTTTTTACCTCTGTATTTGCTGCTTGGCTGATGTGCAGAGGTTTTACTTCCTTTCCTTGTGATGAGATGTTCTGAATGTCTGTTATCGCCAGTCCATTCATTTTCCAGTTTATTCTTGGGTTCTCTCTAGCCATTTCTTGCTCTGTCTATTCACAAAACCCACATCTGTCTCCACCCGTGGATCTTGGCTCTCATATCAGTGTGTTACCCTCATCCAAGGAATTTAAGCTTATTTCTGCATAAAATGCCCCCCCCCCGCCCCCTTTTTTTTTCCCTGTCACCTTCAGTTAGAGAACAGAAATCTGCTCAGACTGCTCCTTGGGTGCATGCCTTCCTTCATGCATTTCTTCTGCATTGTTTTCCAGTTTTTAAGACACTGTGTACAGTTCACATTATCTTTGAGAATCTGTATTCGTGCCTGAGTCTTCTCGTCCTTGACTATGTAGGTTACTCATTTTTTGGCCTTCCTAGGTCCTTTCCTGGGGATAAAGGACAGGCAGTTTCTAGTGCGGTTACTGGTGTAATTGTCATTTCCACTGTTAGATGGTTTTGCTGATAAATCCGTGTAACAAATGATTCCAAATGTATTCTTGTGGTAAAGCCTCTTTACCTGCATGTAGATAGAAATACAGACACAGATACTTATATATAGACGCATACATATCTATATACAGATAGCTATAAATAATAAGTTCCTTATGTCTTTGCAGTAACTTTTTATTTCTCTCCATTTGCTTACTTTAACTTTCATGTTTGGGAGCAAATCTGCATGTTCTGCTCAGTCGACCCGTGTGTTCACCCTCCTACTTAGGCCCTTCTGCGGCTCTGACTTAATTTCAGCAGTGCTCCTTGTGAGGTCCTGGCTCCAGCCTTTCTGAAAAACGCAGAAAAGAGTAAAAACCAAACCTTCTCCCTAAGCTTCTTGAAGAAACTGGATTTGCCTTTGCATGTGTTTTGCTTGTTTGCTCTTTCAGGTAATCTTTCAGACTCTAAAGACTCACCCCACAAAGAGACATCTAAAGCTCAGCCTGGATCTCCCGAAGCAGCAGCAGCAGTAACCTCCCCTGCCCTGGGTACCTTCGGGAAGGCTGTTCAGACGCAGCAGCCGTGCTCTGTCAAAGCCTCCTTGTCCTCTGACATCTGCTCCGGCTTAGGCCCTGAAGGAGGAGAAGCCAACGCAAGCTCTGGCCAAGGTGATTTTTTTCATACCGGCTGTTCGGCATGTCTTCCAGCACATGCTTCCCTTAGGCTTGAACTTTTTTAGGAGTGGATTTCACTTCTAGTGATATAGGAGCAGGAACCTTTGGCAATCCAGACTGCTGGCTTACCTTTTAAATAGATCGTTGCAGTATTGTCAGAAGAACAAAAGTAAAGTACCTTAGCAAGTGTTAAGAGTAAGCACTCAAGAAGGCATGCTAATTTTTAGGAAAGAAATACCTTTTATTTTTGCCAGCAGTGGCTTTATACTGACACTTTGTCTGGAGTCTGCCTTACAGATTTCTGAGGAAAAAGAAAACAAAAAAGGTATAGGAGGATAGGAGACACTTTCCTTTCGTTCGTTTTGGGCTGGGTTTTAGCCCCTTGATACTGGTAGACCCAGAGTTCCTCATTCTAAACTGCCAAACCATCTTGAGTGACGGGGGGAAAAAAAAGAAAAGAAAAGGAAATAAAAAAAAAAAAACCAACAAAAAATCCAATCCAAACCCAGAGAACCAAGTTTTGTTTCCTTTATCTAAGGGGTGAACTTTGTGCATGATTTTGGAGTCCCAGCTAAATGACCGTGGATTGGCTGTGTTCCCCAGTCCCCACCTCTGGTACTTCTGTGTATTGCACACCTCTAGGCTTTGACTGATCTTGTTGCCATGCATATTGGAAGTTATAATGATGATTAAAATACCTTCCTCTCATTGCACATCCTGCCAAACTAATCTACAAAATATCTATCTGTTCTCTTCTGCTGTTATTGCATCCTTTGTGTATGGTCAATTAACTTACTCCTCTTTGGCAAAGTTAAAATGGAGATGTGGATGTTTAACTAACAAAGCTGATTTGACTGATGGTATAGGACATCTGATCACAGCTACTTGTACTTTATAAGTGTCTTTGTTTTCTTCCCTTTATATTCATTTGCAGGCTGGACGGTTTTCCACCAAACGTCTGAGAGAGTGACCTATAAATCTAGTAGCAAACCTCGTACCAGATTCCTCAGTGGACCTGTGTCTTTGTCCATCTGTTTGTATTTGTTCTTTTGTATTTTATCACAGTCCATCTTTCTTTTACCCCCTTTTTCCAATTCCATATTTTATATCTCTAATATGTTTGGCAGGATGCCCCTTTTTCTGAACCATCTTTTCTTTCTTTTTATCTTTGTTTTAAATAATCATCATGAACAACACACCTTATTTATATTAATTTTTCATATGAAAGCTTTTTTTGCACTGCTTTTGGCTCGTGCCTGGGCACCAAAAGCATGTGTGGAAGATCTCATCATTTATTATATAGCCTTATGGTAAATTTTACCCTGGACTTATCAAAGCTTTTGTACTTTATGTGATTTATGTTGAAGTAATTTTATTTGCAATGTGGCAAATATACATGTCTGCTGTCCCAGTTCCAGCGACAACAAAAAGAAATCCATCCTTCTGTAGACGAATGGTCTCTTTCACACATGTTTGGACTATGAAGACATGCATGTAGCAAGCTGATACAATACTAGAAGGTCACTGGAGGGTATAACTTCCATACAAGGGCTGTATTAACACAATATACAGTACTGTTTATATCCACTCTATTTTCTTTAATTTTTTTTCCCCGCTCTTTGCATGTGGAAATGCTGAGACAATAGTGCTCCAGCTGGTTCTTTCAAAAATCTGTTTTCTAGGTGGGCTTTTCCCTGTGCATTCACTTTAATTACTTTAAGTGAGCAATTTTGTATATACTCGGAAGCAGCAAGAAGATCTGGTTACTCCGAGGGAGAGTACCATCAACTTTTTTTGTGTAAACTGATCTGGCTGAAGCACTTTACTCAGTTTATTTTCTTATGACCTTATGTGACCTCAGAGATGAAGTCAATTAGCAGTTCATCAAATCATAAATAAGTAAAAAGCAATATCAGATTTTTAGATGATACTTTGAAATGGATTGCTAGGATCCAGTATGTTTTGTTTCAAATAATTGTGCACCTGCTATTTGTACTCTATTTGTATGACTTCTAAAGTAATTGGCAATTCAACCAAATGATATCAAGCTATTTAATTAAAAAATTAAGACCTTTTTACCCAATCATACACGCTGCTCTTTAGGCAAACAGATTTTGCTTGTACAATAAAGATATGTTGTGCTGAACAGGTACTATAGGCCACTTACATATAATATTAGAAAGGCTAATAATGTTCTTGAGAAAATGTTTGGTTAACGAAATGTTCATTTGCATTAATATCAGATCTCCCATTGGAGTTGTACATTGCTCATCATTATCCAAGTGGTACAGATCAAAGGCACAAGACCACTCAAATACACTCATAATTTTATGAATAAACCATATTTTTAAAAATAATCTTGATTTTTTTTTTAAGTCCCTAAAAGTCCAAGCACCCAGGTTGTTGAAAACTGACGTTTCCTGCTCAGCATTCTGCATTTATTATCATGCAAGTTTTTAATTACTATTGAAGTCATGAGACAATTTTGCATTCAGAGATTTTTTTTTTCTGAGACCCTGAGGGGAATTCTCGATTCACAAATTTTCCCATTTGGTATTATAAGGGACATAGTAGTTTCTTCTTCTGCACATGTAATTCCCAGAAGTCGTTTCATTAATCTTTCACAGAATTACTATTCAGTAGGACGCAAAAAAGACTGGGATATGGCAATTAAAAACCAGCATATTAAAAATGTTTGGGTGCATGGATATTGTGAATGAAACCGAGGGAATATGTAAATCCTTCAAATCATGAAGTTTCCCGATGCTTAAATAACTTGGCACGACTAATTGCTTTCTGTTCTCAGCCCATATGCTCTCTTCTTGGATTCTTCTGGGCGCAGCATTCGGGGAGGAGGTTTGCACTCCCCCGGTTCTGAGTCATACCAGGAGATGGACTGAGTTTCAGGCACTTAACCCTGACACATCCATCTGAAGTCACCGCTGCTCGGAGAGCGCAGCATAGTTACCAATACCCTCCATCACTTCAGTTGCTAGGCTTTTTTCCCCAGCTGAAGGACTGGTAGGTTTTGATGGGTTACGAGCTTATTTTAGCTTATTTTAGCTTATTTTTGCAGTGAATCCAACAGGTTGGTAGCATGTGTGTGATGGGATGAAGATGGAGCTGCCTGCAGCCCTATGGTTCCCCAGGGGCAACTGGGGCTGGGACTGCTTGTGGAAGGACAGCTTCCATCAAGCCAGTATCTAGAGCAGCCGTGACCATGGACCTGAGGAAAAATAGTGCTAGATGATGATGATGATGATGATGATGATGGATATGCCGTCTGGCTTGTGCTCCTTCCGCTCTGGCAGGCACATCCATTGACCCAGCCTGGAGGCAAAGCCAACCGTTTGGACTAGGTGCTAACCATGTTTGGCATCTTTGCTGCGTGCTTGAGCAAGGAGAGCGAGTGCGAGGCTATGATGGGCCAGTCCCACATGGGCAATTTGGGGTCCTGGTGCTGTTCCCCAGGTCAAGGTGTCCCTGGGATATTTTGTTGTTGTTGTTTGAGAGCTGTTGGGAAAAGTTGTGCTGGATTTGCAGCCTTCAGAGGGGTGGAGCCCCTCTGCTGTGAGGACAGGCTGAGAGAGTTGGGGGGTCCAAGGAGACCTTAGAGCCCCTTCCAGTCCCTCAAGGGGCTCCAGGAAAGCTGGGGAGGGACTCTGGATCAGGGAGGGGAGCCATAGGACAAGGGGAAAGGGTTTGACACTGAAAGAGGGGAGACTGAGATATCTCTGGGAGAACTTGTTTGGTGTGAGGGTGATGAGAGCCTGGCCCAGGTTGCCCCGAGAAGCTGTGGCTGCCCCATCCCTGGAGGGGTTCAAGGCCAGGTTGGAGGGGGCTTGGAGCAACCTGGTCTGGTGGGAGGTGTCCCTGCCCAGGGCAGGGGGTGGCACTCGATGGGCTTTAAGGTCCCTTCCAACCCAAACCATTCCATGATGATTCTGTGATTTTCAGAAATGCTCTGAATCGCTACATTCGATTGAGCCCTTTGGGGAGCTTGGATACTCCAGTGCGAGGCCTGTTCTATTAGCACACAAATTAGCAGCACACTTTTAAAAACAAATGTTCAGATGCATTAAAGGTAGTTTTACCAAATATCTTCCCCTGGTTACAAATTTGAACACTTTCACAGTGTTCTCCCAGAACAGCTTTTTGGTCTGTTCCCTGTGTCCAACAATTTTCCTTTGCACTTTTCATGGACTAAAGTATTTTTTTTTGAGCTTCAGCATAATCTTAGCCTGAATTCCTTCCCTGGGTTAAATTGCCAGGACATCTTAGGGAAGAGTTTGTGCTGATTTTAAGTGGAATTTTCAAAGCTCCATTTGGCTTAGGCTTGTAATCTTGTGTAAAGCAATTTTTGTCAGGTCTGTAGTAATTAATATATTGTATGTGCATATGTGATTATGGAAATGGTCAAATAATTTATTGCCATTTCAATTTTATTTTAGCTTTCAAGCTTTTTGGCAGCTGTTAGAGTGCAAATATGGGACAGTGGATTTTTTCTGTCCTGCATGATATAATAGCTACTTAATTTCTCAGATAAGAAATCTACAATTGGAGGTAAAACACTCTGCTGAACCTTTGCAGGCTTAGATTAAATCTAAGATTTAATTATGATTCATCTCCTTAACTTTACAGCTATTAAACACCTTGATTTTAGAAGTAATGCAATTAATCTGGTAAATTAGGTTTACCAACTGAATTTTTAATTGAATTCGAATTTAAAACCAATTGTAGCCAACGATTGTCAGTCCCTGCTTCAGGCAATATCACCCCTTTGATAATGTTTCTCATCTCCCAAGCAACGTGCTGAGTGACAGAGTTTGGAAGAAACAGCTCTGGTTTTGGTGATTGACTCTCCTGTAATATTTTCCTGAACTTTGGCTCTGCTCCCATGGGTGTTTTGTGAATCTGTCCAGTATCTCTGTTCTCTGTCACTTCCCCACATGTACGGGGGCCCCAGGTTTGATTTGGCAGCCGAGGTGCAGACAAACTTGTGACTGGGTTTTCAGGAAGCCGAGGGGTTGGTGATTAAACTTTTTGACATGCATTTGAGCACGTACTATAGTCAGCTGCCTGCTTTTATTTTTCGCAGGCAATTGCTTTTCATTTGCATACATATTGTGCCAAATATTACCATTGCTACATGCAGCATAGTTAAGAAAATAGCATTCTAGTATTACTGTCACTGACATTTCCATAATGGGAGTTGCTAGCTAACTTTGAGATAGGCAAGGTAAGGTATATCTGAGGGAAAAGAGAGGGAAAATATTAAAAATACAACACAGATTGTTGCGTTGTGAATGTTGCGTTGTGAATTTTGTTATCTAGGCTTTGAGATGAGAAACTAAACTCAGTCATGCTTGCATAAGACATTACTGTAGTCATGTCCTTTGGATTTTCCTGGAATAGAAAGCTCATTAAACTACATGAAAATATAAGAAAATCTTTCTGAGCAATCCTCCTCTTCCTCCTCATGCCACCCATATCAAAACACAAACATTTCTTCTCCCTCTTTTCTTCACTTTCTCTTCCTCAGTCTCTGAGTGACATCTCTCCTTTCTCCTTTGAGGACTCATTCAGATCTGGACTGGGAATCTCTGAGTTTAAAGCTGCATTTCTGACACAGTAACATAAAATATCGACACCAGTTTGCTGTAGAGGAAAAGCACATACATCCCGTATCTTGCTTTTTACCCCACACTCTGATTTTGCTTATGTTTTCAAGTGCTTCTTCACAATAAACTTGCCATGCCCCATGTCAGATATTCATCTCCTCCCATCCCATAATGGTACTCTTCTTACCAAGTCCAAAATACCTTTCAGGAAATTTGACACTCAAATAGAAATGGTGCATATGTCTGGCAAGATCTGACAGTCAAGTAGGGTTCTCGGTACACTTCTGGCTCTCTATCTGTCCAACAGAATGTGTGAAATCATGATGAAGGATGTAATGAGATAATAATGCAAAAACCACATAGTTTGGTTAAATGAAAACTCAGCTACTCTGCTGCCTTATTTTTCTGCACTTGGACAAGGCATAAGGGAAACTCATTCACAGTTACTTTAAATTTAAGTTCAGAGTCTCACATTTAGACACAAATCCTACTAATAAAGTATTTGGAAACAATTGGCCTCAGACCTGCAGAACAATGTATCTTTTTGGACTTGTAAAACAGGACTTTTAGGGTTGTTTTACAGCTTGTCTCTGCAGCCAGACTAGCTTGACTTGTTCCTGAAAGCATTTTTGGCCTCCTATCACAAACTGAATTGACATCATTTCCTGCATAAATAGAGTAGAAATCAAAACCTCCTATTAGGAAGCCAAGGCAATTCAGGAAAAAAAAAAAAAAAAAAAAAAAGGAAAAAAACCCAAACCCCCAAAAAACCCAACCAAATGCATCTTTAAGTCACGAGACCTTGCTTTTGGCATGCGATTGTACTTTCCAAAGCTTCTGAATGGCTGCACATTAAGAAAGGTTTGAGCTGTCCAGTTATTTAGACTTCCTTTACTCACCTGAACTGCTGACTTTGTCTGTCCTTTCTTGCATAATAACTACTTTTTGATTGCTTAAAAGTACAGAAGCTTGTCCGTCAGATTTGTTGTGTTTAGTCTTACCTAATTCTGTATGTCTTGTATTGTTTTACCTTGTAGGGTCCACCTTGAAACGACTATGTCTAGGCAAAGATCACAGTAGTAGTAACTATCCCATTTTTGTTTCTCAGTATTTCCTTCATGGCATGGGATGTTTTTTGCTTTTTTTTTATTATTATTTTTTACTAAAAGCTAGTTGTTTAATGAATAGAGCTGATGCACTTATACTGATATGAAATTAGACTGTATAAATTGTGATACTTTCATTATAATGCATGTGCTGTGATGTCTTGGGAACCACGCATGCTGCAAGAGAGTTGTGGTATTCTTTGTGTGTGAGACTGTGCACGCATGCGGCGAGAAAACTGGATTCAGTGTTTGTCTTTCTGAAATACACACCTTTATATGACTGCAGTTCTCTGCTGGAGGAATTTATAGCTTAAAACGATCTCGCTCCTGTTGGGCTGCATGAAATATTAAACACTAATTGAAGAGCTTTCCTGTCAAAATACTTATTTTTCTCACTGGTCCCTTTCCCCCAAGCAAAGGAAAAGGAAATGAGCAGTATTCACTTAGTTATGTTGCAGGTTGAATGCATGATCATTTAAAGGTTATTAAAGTATTTTATATAACCATAGGACTAAATAGTTTACTCTGTTTCATTGACTGGTAACTGATTAACAGAAAAAAGAAGACAGAATGTTCATGTTTGCTTATATAATAATTTTAGAACAGTTCTATGAACTTTTGCTTGGAGAGATGGTCTTTAATTCAAATCTTTAGCTATATCAAATACGTTAGCTGAAAAGTTAATTTGTATTTTCTGCTTAGGTCAAATTCAGGCACCTTCAGTTGCTGTTCGCTGCTGATCTTGCTGTGTCAGACCTTTAGTTACCAGCACATAAGAAGGACAGGTCTTTTTTTTTCCCTAGTTCTTCTAGAAATGAGTGAACACATAAAATTAAATCTCTTTCAATACTCCTTCTGTCTGCTTTTATCTATACCAAAAGTTCTGTACCTATATCTTTGTCTCAAAAACTCACACACCCACTATGTCCTCCTCTCTCCTCTTTCTTCTGTACATTCATGGTCCTGAAGGGATATTTTCCCAAAAAAGATATGTAGATGGCAGAGTAAATGGTCCTAACATCACGGAGAGAGATTGTAGGTTCCTGGAGCCTTTGAGGCCAGCCCTACTTGTAACCTATGTAATAATTATGATTTTCCAGGAGGACAGTAAACTTATGCAAGTAAAATAAATAGTAAATTCATTTTTTAAATGCATGCAATTTTAGCAAGTCCTGCCTCCCACTCTCTCGTGGTAGTCTCCTCTGAAGAGACTTTGTAAGCTTTAGGATGTCAGTGCTCCTGGGACTGCCTTCGTTTCTTCTCTCCAAGTCGTTAATTTCACCGAGAGAGAAGTTGTAGGCACAACAGCTAGTGGCTGAGGTAACATAATGTGATAGAAAATATGAACACATTGCACTTGGACCATTTCTTTAAGCAAAGGTGTTCTGTAGAAATTGGGGGGGGGTTGGGTAGGTGGGGGGATTAAAAGTCAAAAAAGCCGCTGTTTAAATTGCAGTAGATGAGAAACTGTGTGAGCAGCAAAGTGGTGACACAGAGATGCCATCGTCAACTTTCTTTGTGTGTGATTTTCCAGGATCCTCCACAAACAGTCTCGTAACGTGTCCTGAGCCCCTCCCGCAATCGACCCTGCAGGTTCAGGCCAACAACAGTAACAACAAGAAGGGAACGTTCACAGACGATCTTCACAAGCTGGTTGACCAGTGGACAAGCAAAACTGTTGGAGCTGCACAGACAAAACCTTCTTTAAACCAACTGAAGCAGAACCAAAAAAGGCAAGACATGGAGCCAAAGGCTAATCCCATGCAAACCCAGAATGAGACATGTGGAGTAAGTGGCACTCCTTGAAGAACGTACCTTTTGCTATGTGTCTTTGCAGAACTCAGATTTGAAGGACAACATAGACTAAAATTACTTCAGATAGATGCTTCCTATAAATGTCCATCTCCTTTCATTAAGTACTAAACCAGATTTTTTTTTAAATTGTCTTTTGAAACAATCTTGAGGGATATATGGGCTGCAATATATGTATATATATAAAATATATATTTTTAAATTGCAAATTGCTTATTAACAGCAATATACAGCAATACTCATACCATTAACCATATGTTGCTCAACTGAAGTTTTAACTATTCCTAATTTTTCTTCTTTTTGACGTTTAATATTAATCTTCCTTAGGCAGAACAGAGGCTGGGCTGGTGGTGTGGTGGTAGAGAGCCTTTAGCAGGTACTGCACTGAGATTAGGGGACAGCTGGATGGGTTTCTGACCGTTCTTGTACTGAGCATCTTTGAGGCTCTCTGCTTGATGAAAATACCACCTTCAGCAGTACTGTGAAAGTAAACTACAACAAACTTGAAATTGGAAGTGCCCCTGTTCATCCCCACTTATTTTCCATAGCAGGAAAAAAACATTGCGGTGGGCATTTGTGTCTGCATTCAGTGCTTGTTTTCATGGCTGAGTGACACTATGAAGGCAGGTACAAAAATGAATGAAGATGTATCCAGAATCCCAGATTATCATTCTGTCCCGCCCAGCTCTGGGTTTCCAGACACTCTTCCTTCTCCTCATGGTAGGATGCTTCTTAGACTAATAATTTTTGCTGGTTTCGTTTTTTTGGAAGACTGGAAATTGAGCCAAGGTAGAGAAAAAAAATTAGTTTTAAAAGCAAAGAAATAGTGAAAACAAAACCAGCGAGGACTGCTTTGTAGTCTCTTAAAAACGAGATAACTGAGTCTGGTTAGTAAACCATTCTAAAAGACTTTTTGGAATGTTGACAGGAAGAGAAACGTGCGTGCAGCAGTGGCAGCTCTGCAGTTGTTTGGGAGGTGAGACCTGCCCAGGCAGGAACGGTGCTGACCCGTCTGCTTTGGTACTTGCTGGTCTCAGGGTTAGTAGGGTCCCAGACTTCACAGGGGAAAAAAATCTGTGCAAATGTGTTAAGCAATTTTATGTCAGTCCTTAATTGCCTTAGATGAACAAATACTTGTGCAATGGGCACAAGTTGGAACATAAGAGCTTCCACTCAAATATGAGGAAAAACTTCTTCACGGTGAGGGTGGCAGAGCCCTGGAACAGGCTGCCCAGGGAGGTCATGGAGTCTCCTTCTTTGGAGATCTTCAAGACCCGCCTGGATGCAGTCCTGAGTAACATGCTCTGACAAGCTCTAGGCAATTCTGCTTCAGCAGGGGAGTTGGACTAGATGATCTCTATGGTCCCTTCCAACTCTAAAAATTCAGTGAAATTTAGTGAAATCACCCTTCTGCGTAGTGATGGTTTAACCAGTATAAACCCATTCTGGAGTAACAGCAACATCTGCTTAAGAACCCTATTAGTTCTCACAAAATGAGTCAAGGAGGTGCCAGTAAACAAAAAGCTGAAGATTTCTAGAAAGTGATGGTAAAGACACCAATTTTTTTTTCTGTTAAGTTGCTTCCTACTCTCTTTTGATGCACTGTTTGGAGGTTGATGTCTTTTCCCTGAGACTCCTGCAGCAGTTTGAAGTATTCTGTGGGGATGTTCTGCCCACTTCAAACTCTTGAAAAGATAGTGGTTATTTTGCCTATTTAAATCATGTGTTAATATCGATTTAGGGTTAATTCTACCTTTTACAGTCTTGGTGTCTCAGTTTCAAAGCTTGTGAAGATATCAGAATATCATTGCAAGAGAAACAGGAATGTCCCTGTCTTAATACACTGATTTTTAGAGGGTTTATGTCTTGTGGCAGTTGTTCCAGGGAATTAGCCAGGACAATTGAAGTCTTTAGAGATAATTTACCAAGAGCTCAGAGAGCTTGGGGTTCCCTGCTCTCATTTCATGTCATTCCTTGTTGCTTAGAAGAGTGGCAGTCAGTTGGCGACCTTGCGAGTCCCATGTGGTTTTCTCCATAGAGTCTTTGTAGTGCAGGTTGCAGAAGACATGCAAAGGTAGGTGGCAAATGGTTATTGTTGGGGTGTATTTGGCCATGAGGCCATGAAGGTGGCACTGCATGCTGGACGACAGAAAACAGGGCAGTGGATATGATTTAAAACACTTTTACAACAGCACAAGGGCTGTTTTGGGAGTTGGGCATCATTCTGCTGATTGTACCTTTTGAAATTCACCCTATAGGGGAACCTGCAGTGAAGGGAGGAGAGGGCTTTGTGATGTTGGGAGAAAAATAGCCCAAAGAGGAGGAAGGAAAGAGTGTGATAGGACCCATAACATCAATTCTTGGAGCGATGAGTTATGTGGGGGGATGTTATACCTGTGCTGAATCACCGTTGGACCCACCTTTTAAAATGGTATTGAAAAGACAAAAAGAACTCAGGAAATCACAATAAGGGTGGAAAAAATAGCATAACAGGGATCATATAAAGCTCAGGCTGTGCTTCTTCAGTCCATCTGTTAACACCATCTTTTTGTCGTCTTTTTCATCAAATACAAAAATGCCTTTGCAAGAAAAGAATAAGGAGCACTAAACAGATTTCCAGCCCATCAGAGAAAGTTATAAATTACAATAAGGTTTTATGTTGGAAATAAAAACTAGATAAATTGTAAATGTAGTGATTCTTACCCCGTCTTTTTTTTTCTGACTGGAACAAGCTAGCAGGAAACTGTTAGGGCAGGTTGTCTTGTATCTTCAAACTGGCTGTTTTGTTTTAGGAGAAGCTTGTGTTGGTCCCATGTGATGATGGGAAATGAGGGGCAGGAGGGAGGCAGTTTTCATACCTTCACTTCTAAATTTTCTGTGGGGGCTATTGAGCAGAAAGATGTCTCCTTGAAGAGTTTTTAAAAAGGAGTGGGAGTGATATGAGTTGTCCCATGGTGCTCTGTTGGTTATAGGTCCCTTGGAATTGGCACCACACAGCTTTTATACGTGACACGTAGAGGCCACGTAGGTGATGAACATCCTCCTGGGGTGAAAGTGTAGGGCTTCTGTTATACAAGGTGTGACAAAGAAGGCATCAAAGCAAATGCCTCCCCTCTACTCTGTGTTCTGGTTTTTTTTCTAATCTCTTAGGCCAAAGGAAAATCCTTAATTGGTTAGGGGGAGAGTTATGTTATTTATTTTTTTAATGTATTATTTTCTCTTATTGTCCACCCGCTGTTATTAATATGCAGGGTAGTTGTGGCCCATTCCAAGTCTTCTCTTTCACCCTGGAAACAGAGGACTGGCTTTCTGAGTTACCTTTTATCATGAGTTTGCTGTGTGTGAATACAACATATCATTGGTGCCTCTTTTTTAACTAAGCGAAAGCTACTCTTTAAGGTTGGAGATCAACTCAGATGCCAAATTGGTGGTGTGTTTAATAAGAGTTAGTGGGTTTTTTTTTCTTTGTCTTTATCATCAGAAGTGTAGAAAGCAATACCATAATTGGGATGCAAAGGAAGACTTTTAATTCTGCTTTGTTTCTGTAGAAGTTACCCAGAGGTTTGGCTGCAGATCCTGGTTGGTGCATATTAGAAGTTTGGGGGGGAACATTCAGGCGTCCAGTTGTGTCACAGGAGTGCTAAAATGTTCCTTTTCAAATGTTTTATTTAAACGTGGGAATGCACGTGTAATAGGATATACTAAGAAGAACTGATGTCAAACTGCCTAATAGTGATTTCTCTTGTGCTCACCCGTGTTGAAGACATGATGAAATAATCCTTTTTTACAGGCAATTGTGGTTACCACTGGTCAAGGAATATGCCTAGAAACGTGAGCTGCCTTGAGTGTAAAGAGTGCTGAATATTGTGTAGTTAAAGGTATATTTTGAAGATGCCTGGGAATAAAAGGGCTTACCAAAAATATGTTTTCTATTCTTCATGCTCTTACATAGCTCTGTGAGTTTTAAAGAAAAAACTATTGCACACATTCCACGTCCATGATAAGGTTGTTTCTGCAGGTTTGTGTCAATCAGTGACGTGTGCTGGGGCTTAGGCACTGTCAGTAATAGCTGCACATCTGTTTGCATTTGGTACATCTTGATTTTAACGAGCTGGCTGCCCAGGAAGCAGGCTTTCTGCAGATAGTCACAGACACAAAAAGGGAGCACAAGGACTATTAACACCTCTTACTGTGTCATCCATCTCCATTGGATTGGAAGAATAATAAAAAATAGGATGACTCTGTGTTCGACGCTATTCAACATCGCTTTCTCGGTCTGAATGTCAGAATAGCTTTCCAGGAACCTGGAAGAGCCCAAACACAAATCTTCAGTAGCACCTAATAACTTCGGGTTTTCAGCAAACTGGAAAAGGGTGATAAAAAAAGATGTATTAGCGTCCTTGCCCTGCTTGTGTTGGCAGCCAGCTCTAACCCTGTCCTGTGATTCAGATGGTTTTATTTCAGTGGTAGTTGGACCATACAGAAGTAACACAGTAATGCTAATAACGTAGCCATCAAAATGTAGCTGGAAGAAAAATGATCTAAACCCTGCATTTTTAGAATGGGTTGTGATCGTTGTGGTCAGCTTTCACAGCGGAATGGCCTGGTTTCATCTCTTCCAATGTAAAAACATAAGTATTTATAGTGTTTATAGTTAAGTCCAGCACAACTATTAGCTATACACTTTCATGGTACTGTAGCTTTGAATATTGCTAAAGTGGCACTTTAGATCTTGCTTGGTAAGGCATGATGACAAGGCAGAGAATTAAAAAAGAAGTCCAAAGAACAGATTTTTTTTTTCACATAGCCTTGGTCCAGGGGGCTTTGTTTCATTTTTATGTATGTTTTTGTTTATGTTCTTCTTTGTGTATATATTATTCATGTTTGATAATGAGTATGTATGATTATTTGGGGGAACGGGAATAAATGGCAGCAAGGGAAAGACAGGCAGCAAGAGGCAGGCATTTGGGGAAGCA